GAAAACAAGGATTTCTTAAAGTTCTGGTAGTAAACAGGCATATGATATTATTATTGTTGAAGTCTTAATAATAAGCAATTATACGTTCAAAGTGCTTTACAATCACTTAGCTATTCCTCACAACAGCCCTGTGAGGTAGGTCGACATTATTACCCCCATTTTACAGATGGGGAAACTGAGGCACAGAGAGGTTAAGTGTCTTGCCCAAGGTCACGCAGCAAGTGAACGCTGGAGCTGGGACTAGAACCCAGGTTCCCTGACTCCCGGTGTCCTTGAAACTAGACCACACTGCTTCCAAAGAGGCATCCCCAGACTGGCTCTGAGCGCGAATTAAAGACGGACAATGTTAGATGAGGTTGGGTGTGGTGGCATTTCCCGCGGACACGTTAGATGGACCCTGAGGTGTTGCCTGGATTGGTTTGGGCATGCGGGTGTATGTGTTAGTTTCAATGGGTGTCTCTGAGCTTCCTGGCCTGTCCACTTCTCACTGCATTCTGGGTTGGGTCACCGCAGCGAGCAGGGTTGGGCGGTCAGGAGGTCATGACGTACTGGCAATAGAAAAGGAACTCTGTCAGCTCAGCGCCAAGGGGCCTGCCAGTCTTTGGGAGTTCGGGCAAACTAGGGATGCAGGACTTTGGAACAGAGTCAGCTGCCCACCTTAGGCAGGTCTGCTTAATCGTTTTATTATAATTTTTTTTTTTTTTTTTACTGGCCAGCATCAGGAAGTTGTGTTCATTTCATTTCTCTGTGGGGCGGCTGCCCCTGTCCTTTGCTCTCTCTTTCTCTCTCTTTCCCTTTCTCTGAGTCTCTGCTTGGAAGGGCAACTGTTAAAACTTGTACGTTCCCTTCCATGAAAAGGAGCCACCGTGAGCAGCGTCCGCGACAGGCAGCCGTGGCCCCGCAGATGAGCCAGGGCCCCGCTTCTGCCTTTTGGAGGAGTGCCTTGCTTGGAAGGGGTCTCCCCGGGGCCTTGGGGTTGCGCTCGCCTGCATTTCTCCCGAAATGCTGTGTCAGTAGAAATTAGCCCACGTGAGAGTCTGCCCTTTCAAGGCCTTAGCCACCACGCCTTCCGACTAACCAGCTTGGTGCCGTAGCTCAGGCAGAAAACGCTAAAGCATCCGTTCAAGCATCTGAAACAAACGAATCAGCCAGTGAAATCTCATCTGTTAGCATCTCTTCTCCTCTTATATTTAAAAAAAGGAAAAAAATGAAAAAAGAGCCCACTTATGGCTTTAGGTAGAATCATGCTCTTAAAAAAGAATCTCACTACTTTTCAGACTAGAGGGGTGTGTGGCCACAGCGTCCTCCACAGATTGAACCTCTGGGGGGACCCCCTGTCTATGCACCAAAGCTCCCCAAGGCCGCATCAAGGCACAGCAGGGACCATTTGCTGCTGTCACACCACCCACATCTCCCCTGACCACCTGCGGCCCCATCTGGTGGCCTGGCCACAGGCTGTCAAAGCTCTCCAACCTAACTACCTAGTTCTGCATGGCTAGAAACAAGCAGTCTCGTCTTGAAACCCAACTTCCAAACAGGTAAAAAGACTCTCCCTCCAGAGTTTTCCTGTCACTCAGATAGATGGGCAGGCTACCACTTGGGATGAGGGTGGGACACAGTCTCTGCAGATCCCCCCAGAGTAAAGGAGGTGTTCAAGTGTTGGGAAGAAAGAGAAATGAACAAAACTGTCCCCACTTTGGGTTCTTTTCTTTTTCTTATTCAAGGGACCCTGGACTCATCGGTGCCTGTTAAGTTGCACAGGTCCTCATCCAGAAGGTCCCCAGGGGACAGTCCAGGCACACTGCTGCTGGTGGGAAGGAGACTGAGAGTTTCCCTGGCTGCAGGGCTGGGTTCCTTTATTTCTTGGCTCCTCGTGGGAACTCGCGAGCCCCTTGGATGTAGCAACGATGAATGAAGAGCGAATGCCAGAGTGAAACTAAAGGGAATGTGGTGTGGGAAGATGAGTGAGAAAATTAAAAGGCCTGGCGCAGCTTCTCTCGGGCTCCCTCGGGAGAGGGGCTGGAGAGAAGGCTGGTTTTCATGATGGAGATGGGGGGGATGAATGGATGGAAACCGCACACTCATTCAGATCACAGAGGCCAGAGGACACGGGATGCCGAGCCCCTCCCCGGAGGTGGGAGCGCCTGGAGGTGGGAGCACCTCGAGCCGAGCCCTCGAGCGGGGAAGGCAAGTCTGCAGTTGGTCTGAACAGAGGGAGATCAGACGGAGCCCACGGGGTTCAAGATCACGCGCTTCTGTGTGCCCAGGGGTGCCCAGTTCTCAAAGCTCAGTGACCGCACTCTCCACAGCACCAGCATGCACGCTGCTCACACAGATGCCACACTCCCACCAGCATTCAGTCCGTGAGCCATGGTGCCCCAACACTGGAGCAGCAGGTGGCCCCCTCCCCACAGGCATGCCCACCCTCAGGGACTTTCCCAGAGACGGGTGTCCTCATCCTAGTGGAGCAGTCAGCAACACTCCTCCCACGCTGACCCCCTCTCCCCCACTGCTTCATTGTCAAGGAGTAGCTCTTCATGAGGAAGGAAAGCCCCCTCATGCTAATTAACCGTGGAGTAACAATTCACATTTAGAGCCCTTTCTACAGCAGAGGAAGCCAAAAATGTAATTAGAATTATCCTTCAAGGGGACAAAAAAAACTATTTTAATGTTTGCTTCAGAGTCAAATGCATTTCAGAATTTATCTGTTAAGATTATGAACACAACTTAATTGTCTACGCTGTGTACTCAACATAAATTATAGACTTAGCCTCCAATCCCAAAGGAGCCGTATGAAAATGTGTTGGTAGCGTCTAGCTTGCAATACTGAATAACTTCAAGTTCTAATTTGAATTTCACTCAAGAAATGAAACTTCCTAGAAAATGAAAAACATTTAGGAGATTAAAAACTCTGGACATTATGTGAACACCATGTCATAGAATCTTTAACCCAGAATCCTGGGTTAAGATGGTGCTGTGTCAGCACCATCTGGACCTTTAGCTCAAGACTCAGTAAATCCCGTAGGTGAGATGTGATTACTCAGCCATGTGCTGTTGATGCATGTTTTAGAACAGCAAACACTACATCTAGCCCCGGAGCAAGTGCTGAAACCGTCTAACTGGAAACTCTTGGGGGTTTGGAATATTAATAACCTTGCACCCAAGTGTTTGTCCTCCACGCCCTTCACAGAAAATTGAAGTTCCATGACAGAGCTAAGCTGATAACCATAAATTCTGACACATGTCATGGATGAAAGATGTACTTCTCCTCTAGAAAGTCAAGTTCTGACCCCACCATCTAAATTTCAAGAACAGCCGGCAATTCCCTCTAAGCAGAAGGTACCCACTGATCTCAGAAATCTAGCCAGCCTCCTCTTCTGGGTAAGGGCTACCAAGGGAAGAGTCTTCCAAAAGCATATTAATCTCTCCTTCTGAGGGAGGCTGACATAGCCATTCTGCCTCCCAAAATGTATGAACCAGAGACCTGTTTCAATTTGAAAACACCATCTTTTCAGTTTGCTTTGTCTAAAGGCTAGCTGTGAATTACAATCCAGGAGAAGGGCCAACCAGATCAGCAGAACACAGGTAAAATGGCTTAACTCAGATCCTCTGACCTGAGACAGCAAGAAGCCATGTGACTGAACCTGCGCTCGCTGAGCTACCAAAAGGATACATGATCAGAGCAAGAAGATCAGAGACTGTCTTCAGTAGGATTCAGCATCCACCTGCCCCACCAGTATGCCCAGCATATGGCTGGCTGAGCCAAACAGATTTCAGGAATCAGCCGTCACTGTCATGCAAGGTCATCGCTAGCCTACCACATACACATGCTCCCCATGTTCCTCATTCACCACCATTCTCATTCACAGTTTTTCTCACAATATCACAGACAAGCCTTCACTTCCATAATTACCATCACTTAGAACACAGAACAAGGCTGGGTGAACCTTATCAACACCTGTGAGGTCACATTTGAGACATGTGACAATAGGGCCATAAAAGTAATTTTGGCATAAACTAAAAAAAAAAAAAAAAAAAAAAGGAGAAATTCATCTTACTCACAATGTACTTAAAGCACTCCAGGTAGCAGAGATGACGGGGCTTGGTTGCTGACCGCTTGCTGACCTTTGCAGTTTCCCATCCCTCTTTGCCCTGCTTTCCCCATCACTGGCCACAGACCACTCTTCCCAGGCCCCCTTCCTGCAAGTCTCCATTTTAACTCCTTTCCCATCTGCACACCGGCTTCCCATCCAGAGCTCTGGGCTTCCCAAGGATTCTATAACCCTTAGGTGCATGGATGCTGAGGTTCCTTATACCACATTCACATGTCTAGGGGCCTAAGGCAGGACCTAGGGTGGGGCCTGGGCTGGAGGAGGGGAGAGGGGCCCAAGGCTGGCCTGGATGCAAGAGCAGCATTTGCACAGCAAGCCTCACGGCCATCAGAAGACAACACACAGAGACAGACACACCATATGCATGCACTCACGCGAGCGCGCACACACACGCACAGTACACACTAGGAAGTGATGGATGTTACTGAAATGGACCAAAAACCAACAAGCAGTGGGGTAAGAAACAAACAGAAACAAAACAAAGCACTTGCGTTCAGATGGAAAGCTGTTCACTAGGCAGCCGGACCCTGAGCTGAGCGCAGGGCTGTCGGGAAGGTGTGCCTGCCTGGAGGACACTGCCTTTGGAGAAGACTGGAGGGGGCCAGGTGTGAGGGCAGCACTCACTCCTCTCCTGCCATGACCATCCTGGGGGCCCTGCACATGGGCCAGCGGTGGCAGGTGCAAGGCACAGTGGAGAAGGCAAGGGGAGGAAGCACTTACCTTGTGGCCCAGAAATGGCCAGTCCACATTTGGGGGAGTGTGCAGTATCCCAGTTTAAACAAAATCCTTGTGGTACTGCTCAACCATGAATTGTCAGCTCTCTAGTGTTTCAAATAAGCTTGTAACATTGTTAGTGAAAAGAGAGAACAAAACAAGAGGACAATTCACCTGTAGGGCAATTGTGGTGTTCTTCGCAGGGTACTTTCCCACCAATCCTTGTTCTTTCCGTTTCTTGAATTTCCTAAAGTAGTCCTGTATCAGGAAAGTGGCATAGAACTTCCCCACGGTTACCTCATCATCTAAACGGAGAGACCAGACATAGCTCTCCCGAATCAGCACATTTGGACCAAGAGCCTAAACACTTGCTTCTGGCTGGGGCAGGGGTGGTGGGGCGGGATGGTGCAGAAGGCACCGAGCTCTCAGCCTACAACAGGGGATGCTCAATCTAGCAAAAAGCAAGGCTTTGCAAAGCAGGTAAGGCTCAAAACTAGTGTCTGTTAATGAACTGAGACTCAAAAGTTGCAGAAAGTAATATATTCATTATGAGTTTAATAGCGCAGCATATTAGTAACACTGTGAAATGCCATCTTGGTTATTTGCTTAAAATAAAAGATACAAAACAAAAAAGGCTTAGTGGGGCCATGTTTTCACCCCGTGCATAGGGATTTGCATGTGTAATTACCATAAACATCAATGGCAATTAACCACCCAAATCCCTATGCCTTAAAATAGAGGCCTAGAAAGATGACATAGAAAAGCCTGGAAGGAGAGGAAGGTTTAGGAAAGCGACTGCAGATCTAGATTTTCACACGCTCCCCCACCCTCTGTTCAGAATTGCCAGTTTTCTGCAGTGACAGCTCCAACTAGCCTCAGAGTGGAGCTGGGCTTATTTCTGCTTTATTCAAAAACAACCTCCAACATGTTTCACTGGGGAATCAGAACCCTGCTGACAATTTAAAAGGTGATGCATGAGGCAGAATAGAGGCTCTGGCTGTCTCAAGGTAAACCACCCTGCACATGTCCACGTGCCCCCAGGTCTCCCAGGAGTGCCTGCCACCAGCTTCTGAGGTGCTGATGTCTCCTGGGTGGAAAGCCAAAGGCCACCTTTTGGTGGAGTGGCGCGTAATGGGGGACTGAAGACCACAGAATATGACTCTCAGAGGCTAGGAGGGGGAATGGCTGCAGGTCCTCAGGCTTTAGGCCAGGCTGTCCTTGCAAGAGTTACCTACTGATGGGGATAATGGGCTCGACCTGTCCGAGCTTGTGTTCTCATCTATAAGAGATAAGTCTCCTACAGGAGAGGACTGCTGAGGCAGACACAAGGCACTTAGGCCCCAGGCTTGAGTCAAACTCGGGTCTGAGCACTGTGTAACACCACCAGCAGACCCACTGAAGTGCATCCTAGAGCAGGACAACGTGGCGGTCACTGGGACCCCCACATCAACTAATGTATTCTGGGTGGGCTTCCTTCAGTGCCCACGGGGAGGTCCCACCCCTGATCATTTCCATCTCTTTTGGTTGGCTGCTCCAGCCCTCCTTGCCAGAGGCTGCTCTGGCTTGAGAAGTGATATGTTCCTCCTAAACCTCACGAGGGAAGTCCTGGAGTGGTGCAGGGGCCGCCAACATAAACCCCGGGCTCTGCATTGCCCGTAAGAACATGGGCCATACGGGTCTTGGGTTTGTCTACACTGTCTCATGAGGCACCATCCATAGTCAAGAGGCAAGCAGAGGCCATTCAGGGCTCACAGCTCACTCCCTGCTCTGCTTTCCAGTCTCCGCCCATTTGGTGCAGGGTGCATTTAGAATATGAGCTTTAGCTGGTCCCTGTGGCCAGGCACCTACAGGTGCCACACCACTTGTCTGGGGAGTTCCACATGGGTCTCCAGTCCTTTTTATGACAACTCTGGCACAGTGGATGTGCTCACCTCCAGCCCCTGACAGCTAGAGACAGGTTAAATGACTTGCTCAGGTCAGTCTAGCCAGAACCCGAATCCAGGGCAATGGTTCTCCTTGAGCCTAGGTCCTCTCCTCTACGCCATCTCCCTCCAGACAGCCCAGGTCTGGCCACCTGCTTCTTTGGGGCTGCCTCTCCTAAAGTACAAGTTTATCCCTTTCTTGGGCTGCCCAACTAGTTCATCCAGGGGGCCCCGGGGAATTCTCCTGCTGCCATGCCACAGCTGTCCTTTACTCCAGGCTTCCGAGTCCTCTCTGTGGGTCCCCAGGAATAATAGTGGCTCTGCCTACATTCCACACCAGGATGCTTCCTGCAAACACAGGCCTAAACCTTATCTCTCTTCAGCCTGCAGAGCAGAGGCAGGCCCTCTTAAGGCTCTGCAGGGCAGGATTCGAGGGCCATTTGGTCATCTCCACTGAGGTGCTGAGGTAATTGGGGGACTGGACCCATAGAAGAGTTTTTAAGCACAAGTAATGTCACTGTTTAGGAAGACAGAGACAGAAAGAACAGAAAGAAAGAATGCAGCGAGACTTTCTCGGCCCAGGACTGGAGAGAGATGGGGTCAGCTCAGGGTGCTCTTTGCCACCAAGGAGCCAAAGATATAGCTCAAGGAATGAAGGTTCAAGGCAGGAGGGTCTTTGGGGAGGAGAGAAAGCTTCTCAAGAGAAAGCAGGCAGTCCATGGGATGGCAGAGGAGACTGAAGAGGGAAGGTGAGAATCTCAGCCAAGATTCCAAGCTGAGGTAGCTCAGCACTGATGACCAGGGAGTGGTCAGGCTGTCGCTGGAGACCACTGGGTTCCAAGAGTGGGAAAGGAAGGTCCCAACATGTACTTCATAGCTCATTCCTGACATCACCTTTTTATGAAGCTCCTGATAACCTAGTGATGTCTCACATTACCTTCCCACCAGAAAAGACTTCTAAGACAAACATCCCACTCTGCTGTGTCACCAGGGTCATGAGGGGCGCCCTGACACTCCACATTAGCCAGTCTCAGGCACTTAGGGGCAGAGGCTGACCTTGCTCACTCTGGTGCTCTCTGATCAGGGTATGGCATGGGGGATAGCAACATCCTTACCCTCTGGAGCTACTCATCTGTTTTGCCTGGAGCAATGTATACATGATCACTCTCTAAGCATGTCACAACACAGGAAAGGGTGGTAAGCACTGGTCTATTGGAAGATAAAAGGAAATACAAACAAATGACAAAGATAATAAAGTCCTATCCAGAACTTTCCACTGATGCCTGAGAGTCCCTGCAATCTCTGGTGGCAAAAGTGCTTATATGAGATTAAGCCTTGATAAGCACTATAGTAGGCACGAGATTCAACACTGCATGGACTCTCAGGAGCATTCTGTTTCCTTTCAGGCATCACAATCCTTCCTTCTCAGGCATCACAGTGCTTTTTGCTACCACTGTGGAACAGAATAACACCTGACAGCCTAAACCTGATCCAAATAGAGAAATAGAGAAATCCAGGCCCAGCTATGGACAAAGAAAGGGGAAGAATATTTAGCCTCAATGGGAAGCTTAGTGGGACTAAAAGCTGATCAGCTTTTCCAAGCAAGACTGAACCAAATTCTGGACTTTTTTCTGATGGAAAGAAATGAAGTTTCTCCAAGTGTGTCTCGTGGGGGATGGATGGGCATTAATTCGGGAGTAAGACTGGTCTTAATGAAAATGGCATTTCAAGAGATGTGAGGTAGAAGGAGAGAGGAGCGAGTCCTCGGGCTCCCATGGGGAACATGTACATAGACAGGTGTGGCCTGCTGTTCTGAAGCATGCATCAGTATTTCAAGAAATATCGTAGGGGAATACAGTTGGCAAGAGATAACTCTGATTCCATGCCACCACCCTAAAACAGAATTGCTTCAGAATATTCTGAAAGACTGAGAGTTGAAAGGAATGGAGGCTGCAGAGAAAGCTCAAGCACATTGTTACAACAGTTCAAAAAAGCACTTCATCTAAGCCATGCGAGCACTTGGAAATGCAGCTGAAAGGAAAAGAACAAAAACCAAAGAGGAGTTTTAAATGTGCAGCATCCGTTTCCCCCGCGGGCAGGGGTTCTCGGGGTGGGAGCTTTGTTTCATTTCCTTTTATCATTTCTTTCTGGCCCATTCTCCCCATCTCTGAGCCAGTGGCCATTCCAGCTGCGGGCGGCTCTCTTCAGTAATGAAAGTTCATACTGCTTCCACGAGAAGCAAGTTAGGGAGCAGAACTGGCCAACATGTGCTCTCTGTCCCCCCGAAGAGCCACAGGCTGTCACCCTCTCAGAGGGAGCGGCCCAGGCTACAATCCTGGCCCAGGTTCTGGAGTCAGATTCCACACCTGAGCCAGACCAGCCTCGAAAGCGGCTGGGGCAGTGATACCATAAAGGTTCTCTGGTTATAACCCCACCCAAGATGATGACTGCCCAGGCCAGGGGTGGCTAAAATGCTGGCGGGATGGCACTGGGTAAGCAGATCCTGCACCTTTAAAACTCGAAAACAAAACGGTCTGAAAACAACCACCTCAATTTCTAAGTCCACGTGTACTTAAATGAAAATGGAAAAACAGTACACATATATATGTATATATATATATATAATAGGTAGACGTTTTATATATATATAAATTCAAAAAAGTTTAGTCAGTTAATTTGTGATAAATAACAAAAGAAAAATAAGCATGCTTGTTAGTTCTGTCTCTAATTATTTGTAGTGCTGGGGATAAATTCTACTTTATTGGTAATTATGATGGTAAATTCAGTCTTGATAAGAACATTTCAAAATTACCATTTCCTGAAAACTACCCATTTTTTTAATGAGTTTTCAACAAAATACTGATGGATAATTGGAAACTTATTTTGACTATTTCTTTTTGGACAAAAGAAATATATATATATTTTAGGATTTTCATTTGTAACAGCAATCTTATTCTCTAACATTATCTCTTCCACCAATGAGCAAACCCCTGCTCCAGCCACATGAGTCTTGGTTTCCTCCCCACTGAAGGCTCCCACTGAATCGTCTTTGTATTGCCCCCAAATAATCATACCAGATGGCCAAGGATTCTCTAGTGTTGGCCTAATGTTGAGACCTAAAGCATTCTGTGAACACGGTTTGGGCTTTCTGGAGATGCTATCACTAAACCAAAGCCCTGGCTGAGAACTACTTAGGAAATAGATTACACTGACCACCGGCTGGAGGGACCACTTGGTCAAGCAGTTTCATGCTGGTTTTCTTCCATATTTTCTTTATCACAGCTCGAAGTTCTTCATTAGCTTGTTCCAAGTTCCCTAAATCCAAAAAGCAAAAGAGGAATGCGATGGACATCATTATTCCAAAGTACATGTATGAAGACGCGAATTGGGTGTCAACATACTTTATATACAGAGATATGAAAAATTGTGGTATATACATATAATAAGAATTTTAATGCAAAAAAAGTACATGTATAAAGGCAAAAAAAAAAAAAAAAAAAAAAAAAAAAAAAGAAAAAGAGGGAAACAAGCCTTGTTTGTTTCCCAACTCCCCTCCCTGTCCTTGCCACTCTGCCCAGTCCCAGCGTGGCTGGAAGAACACACTGCCTCTGCAGAGGCTCCCTGCCACAGGCTCTCCCCAGCCAGGGTCAAATGTTCTTCCTACATTAAAGGAGCCTACCCAGGGGGAAGTCCCTCCACGGTGGGGACATTCCTGTTTTACCCTGGAATTCAGGATTTCTGGACTCTGATCCCTCACAGCCCAGACCTACTCTCCTCCCACTGCTTCTAGCTCAGAGGCCTTTCCCTCTTCACTGGCTGCCCCCAGTCCACTTCCATCCAAGGTGAGAGCCCAGCTGGGAAGTCACTGAGCCTAAACTTTCAGTTCCTACTGCATATACCCAGAGATGCCATATAATCTTGTCCTGTTCCTATATATGTTCCTATATATGGATCATCTTCCCATCTAATGTGCTGGCATGCAAGACCATCCTGCCTCCTGGAACCCTTAGAGAGGCTGGACTGTGGCTAAGTAGACAAGTCAGCCACAGGAGGCACACCTTAGACTAGAAGATAGAACCCTGGGGTTGTACACAACATCTGTCCCCTCACTTGGCACATGCTCCTTGCTGCCTCCTTTCCCCTCTCCTCCATCCAGTGCCTCCGTCAAGGTCTCCACTTCCTCCCTTCCTCTCGCTCACTGCTGAGCAGGCTGCCATCTGCCTTCCAGTCCACCCCTGATGTGGCTACTGTGCCACCCTCCAGGGTCTGTTTTGCCAGATCTGAACAGAGTTCAGTGTGGGAGGGCTGAGGGTCCAGCTAGGAAGATGCTGGTCCTACTAGTATTCCCCAAGCGCTGACTGTGCGCTATGGGTACAGAGGGGCTTCCTCAGACAGTGCCTCAGTCTCCTTGAGGACTGTCCCTGGAATAGGTGCATTTAGTTTCTTTTTAGAGAGAAAGAAGCTATAGCTCAGAATTGCAGATTTCCTCACTGCAGACCACACAATATTAAGGGACAGTTGGAGTGAGCCCACTTGAGATGGCTGTCTCTGTCCCTGGACCTTGCCTACTTTTCCTGCTATGGTAGTAAGCAGAATAAATTGACTCAAAACACTCTGGGACAAAGTGAAACCGATAGGAAGGACAGGGAGGACTGAGGGAGGGCAGGGTGGCCTCCTGCTCATAGGCACTCCCACTCTTCTTCCTGATCCTTCCTGGGGCTCTCTTTACCTAGAAAAAGCCTAGTTGAGAAAGTCAAGATCAGAGGTGGCCACTCCTTCCCCTTCTGCCACCTGTCCTGCTCCCAGGGAATGCTCACCTTCAGTCTTGATCTTGAGAGCCGTTCGGACCAAAGCAAACAGGGTTGCGTTAAACATGACTGTCCCATCACTGTTGAGAGGCATGTTCATGGCCACTAATCTCTGTAAGTGGAATGAAAAGTTCCTCAGGAGAAAGCCAATGCTGGGTGACAATCGCGTCCCTTTGGGGTGTTTATTCTGTTTATCCCTCATTCCTTCTCTTGTTAGCCCTCAAGTTCAACTCAGCAGGTATTTGGGAGCACCTTTATGATGGTTAATTCTGTGTGCCAACAGCCTTCTGCCCTCAGACTGAACGTTACACCGTCAGCTCCCTTGTTCTCAGGCCTCTGAACTCGGGCAGAACTATACCACTAGCTCTCCTGGGTCTCCAGCTTGCTGATGAGACTGTGGGATTCTCAGCTTCCAAATTATATGACTCTGGTATACATACATAGGTACGTATCATCACACAAACACATGTATACATATATATAAGTCTATATTGATCCCATGGGTTCTAATTGTCCAGAGAATCTTGGAATTCTGTGTCCCCAGCACCTCACACAGGCCTGGCTGAGTGTCACTGAGTGTTTACGGACTGAAATCGTGAGCCCCACAAGAGAAGCTGTCAGACACACAAACAGAATGTGCTCACCTTGCACGCTACTCTGTGTGGACATAATTTCCCAAACCCCAGAGGAGGTTGGATACGCCGGAGCAGAGTGACCACATCAAGGTGTTTTATCCTTCCCCTGAAAGCAAAGGACAATGAGGTCGGGGGATAGTGGAAGCTGACCTGAGATTTCAGCCCACTCCACCTTCCACAAAAGTCACAGTTGACATTCCAAAATAGCCCATCCAAGCCAGACAGACTTTTTTCCAACCTACTTTGCCTCAGGGTCATATTCTGACCATATTCGTTTGAATTCATCTAAATGGTGAGGCCCCAGAATAGACCAGTCCCGTGTCAGATAGTCAAAATTGTCCATGATGACAGCCACAAACAGATTGATGATCTGAAAAAGGAAATCGGAGGGGGGAACTTCAGCTGTAGTGGGATGCACTGTTAGACTCTGCTACATGCCTCCTAATTACATGGACATGAGATATTTGAACCCACATCTCCAAGTACCCAAAAGGGGCTATTAACCCTTTTCCTTGGTGTGATGTTTAAAAGGGAAGGCTTTTAGCTTTCTTGGATGGCTTGGAATCATCCCAGGAGGGGTGGGTGGATGCATTAGCTGGTGTTCTGAAGCTCACTGCAAGCTCATAATTTCATTGCCACCAGATAACTCATACTCTGAAGTCACTTAAAGCCATGTGCAGAAGCTTTGAAATTTTAGAAAGGAACCAGAAGCCCCAAGAAGCTGGGATGGTTGGTAACTGTCCCCAGCTTATTAGTGAGCACCCAAACCCTGCTCACAACCAAGGTGGTAGTGGCATGTGCCTGATTAAATGAGATCTCCCCTGCCAAAGGAGCCCAGGCACGTCAACTTTCCTGCAGAGTTTGACAGGGCAATGTCACTAGTCTGAACCCCAAATGCTACACAGGCACTGTAAATGGAGGAGAGCTGTGGTGACTGCTTACCAGAAACGCACAGAGCATGTAAAAACTGATGAAATAAACAATGGCAAAGTTGCTCCCACACGTGTATTCCTCTCCAGGGTTGTAATCGGACTCAGGGTCACAGAGCTTCCCCGGGAGGCAGGCCAGCATGATCTCCTGCCAGGCCTCCCCTGTTGCACACCTTTTTAGACCGAGAAAGGGTTTTAGTAGGGGAAGGAGAGATTTAAGGCTTAGACTGTTGAGGGGGGGTTCCTAATTAGAACAAACTTTAAGTAAAAGTTTGAATTACTGAGAATCTGAAATTTCTACTTACTTTCAAATGCACCTTCCCACACAGAGGTCCTGATATTGGCCTCTTGGATTTATAATAATCATTTGATATAAGCATACCAATTTTTCTTTTTATAAATGAATATCTATTTTTCTGTGTCTTCTCTACTTTAAACATTCATATTGTAGTTTTTAAAAGATCGTTCCTGATTAATTTTGTTTCAAAGAAAGAACCACCCAGTTTGCAAATGACTTGCTGGAGACACGAGAAATTGCTTCTATAATTTCTAGGAAGTTCTCCCTGTAAGATAGTTGGTTTCCAAAGTTAACTGGGGCCAAAAACAATTCCATAAAATTTGAAACTGTACATCTTAGTATGTTCCCTATTGGCTGTGCAAAAGGCCCCTGTGTTTCTGCTCGTTTCTGTCATCCCTGTTGTGTTTTGGTAAACGCTTTCATGCATAAACAGGTATTCCACAATTTTCTTGGTGGTGTAAGTAAACTTCCAACTCCCAGCCACAACCTATATGGCCCCAGCAGTTTTAATAATACAACAAAATCCTTCTGTGGTTGAAATGCTAGTTCTCTCGAGAATATAAAGCAAAGGCAAAAAGCCATCATGATTATTGGGAAAGGTACACTGCTCTAATATGACACATGTCCTGTGTCACTTTGAGCCCAGGGAAAGACAGAGACTGGCACTACCTGCCCAGGAACACCACCCACAGACTCTGTCACCTGAAGAGCAGCAGCACCGCCTGGGGAAACGTCTGGAAGTTGTTGTTCCTATTGATCTGGTTATTATCTCTCATGGCAACTTTCCCGAACATCTAGGTGGAGATGTTATTAGGAAAAAAAATAGAGTTTGTCATTGCTGCAGTTTGAGTCTTTAATGTCCACTAAAGATTGTGTTTCGAAGGCTTGGTCTCCAGGGTGACACTGGTGGGAAATGGTGGAATCTTTAAGGGGTGTAGCCTTGCAGAAGGCCAGTGGATCACTGGGAGTGTGCTCTCCAAGGGGACCCCATAGCCCTGGCCCCTCATCTGTTACTTCCTGGCCATGCTGTTATAGGCTTTTTCTCCACTTTCTCTCTCACTGCCACCATAATGTGCTGCCTCTCCACAGGCTCAAAACAGCGGGGTCAAATGGATCATGTTCTAGAATCTCCAAGACTATGAGCCAAAATAAACCTTCTCGAAGTTTCAGATATTTCATTATAGTGACAGAAAGCTGACTAACAGTCACATAAAAAAAAAAAAACACTCATGAATTTAGGATGAAGACAGATTTGACCAACTGGGGCTTTCTCGGGATTTGGCACTTTGTTAATTCATCAAAGATCTTCTGGGCACACCCAGGTGCCAGGCACTAACTTAAACACTGAGCACATGGTGCTCCAGACAAGCAGACTCATCTTTAAGGAGTCCCTGCTCTGGGGAGAGACTACAAAGATAACCAGGCAATGACAACCTCACATGGTGAGTGTGGGACGGTCCAGACCCACAGGGAAGTAGGGAACAGGCTCATTTACCCAAATCCAGGGGCTTGGGGTCAGGAAAGATCATGAGGGGTGGGGGTGACATTTACGCTTATAAATGAAGAATATGTAGAAGTCTGTCTACTTATTTCACAGAAGTCTGTGAAAGAAGCTGAAGAGTGCTCTAGGCACAGGGACCAGCACCTGCAAAGGGGCAAAGGTGACACAGCACAGGTGTCCTTGGGAATGAAAAGAAGAATGGCAAGTAGATACATGAAATATCAGGCTGGGCACAAAGGGGGTGCCAGTGGGCAGGAGCCTGCAACCTTCCAGAAGGAGAGTGAGCTGCACCTCCAGGGCAGTGGCCAGTGAGCAAACAGCTTTTCTCCTGAGGCTTAGGAAGAGCCGGATGACTGGCCAAAGCCTGCTAGGAGAACCTGGGGTGGGGTGTGTGATGTAGTTTACAGGCCCTGAGGTACCTCTTTGTCTGTTACACAAGACCCTTCCTGGTGCATGGCATCCATCACACATGGCTCAATTACAAGGGCTTGAGTAGGACCAATCCTTTCCCAACTCCTGGTAAGATTCCTTGAGACCTGCAAATACTTCTGTGTCTCCGGGAAATAAATAAATAAATGCCACTATTTCTCTTTCCCTAGAATCACCTCAATTTCTCTTACTCACGCTCCTCCCTTATCAGAAAGACAGCATCTGTAAGGGGAGAATCAAGGAGGCCACATGGACATCTAGAGCCACATACCATTCTCCGTTTCCCTCCACCCATGGAGCCCCCCACCACAGCTGCACACTTGATGTTAGGACCTGGCTGTTAATAAGGCCCAATCCTTTTCTCAAGCCCAGGAGGAATGGGAAGCATGCTGCAGCTCAGTCCCTAGACCATGGTCACAGAAAAGAGTCTGGTACCATGACTCTCTGGAAAGCTGAGGTACCACAATGGTCCCAGTTCAGTCCCAACTGAAGAATCTGGAATAATTTTGTTTCAAATGAGAATCCCATTTATGATAAGGAATAGCATTTCAGGATATCATCAGACTTTCTGCATTACCAAGTCTCCTCTGAGTTACACAAGTACAGAAAACATGACTTCCACATTGACAATTATGGCTTCCTTCTTCTGTGGTCTCCTATCATCCACCACCACTGAAACGAGCCATGAATTTTCTCAACCAGCTAATTCTTCCAAGACACTGGGTGGGGGTAGGGATGCCACAATACACAGATTTACTTGTCACTTCTTCACCTCTCCACAATCTTTCATGTCCGATTTCCTCTGGCACAGCCTCCATCCTCAGGAGCTCCTTCCTGAGGGACCACATCTTTCTCATCTCCCTATCTCTTTTGAAGCCAATGCATTTGTCTCTCGACTTTTCCTGGCCATGGTACATTATACCACAGGTTTGGGGCTACCCTGAAAAAAGGGTTCCCAGGAAGCACCTGGCACTCACCTGCATGCCAATGACTGCGTAGATGAAGAACAGCATGGCGATGAGGAGGGCAACATATGGGAGTGCCTGTAAGAGAGGAACTGTGTGACTCAGTACCGGGCCACTGTGCCCGTTCAGCACGACAAGAAGACCTACACAGTGGCCACATGGTATAGTGAAGGAACACAGAATGAGGAAGAAATATTAATCCCAGCCCAGCACAACTACTTCAGTCCCAAATACCCAACCCCCTACATGCCTGGTGTTACCACTCTCCATTATGGGAATCGTCTATGAAGTTACTAAAGATCAAGTCATTCTGAAGCCTGGACTTTCTCTTGTGGGCAGTCTGCACAGGGCAAAGATCAGGTTACAAAGAAACATTATTATACAAGGTGATTTTCCACCTTGCTTCTGCTGAAGCATTTCCTTGGGGTGAACTCTTAAAAGTAGAATTAGTCAGAGGGGAAGAGCCAATTTCTGATGGTAGCTACAGGATGCAAAATACCTTTCATAAAATGTACATCTCTGAAGGAACTACAAAGTCAGGGTGGGAAGAAAAGGAGATAGCTAGGTGATCGTCGAGCCTAGGCTCTCTTCAGGAACACCCAACACAAGTGTGTATGTCTGATCAGACCCCCATTCTTTAAACCAATGTTCTTCCATTGCTTTGCTCCCTCACCACATGTGATGGGCTTAATTCCAAGTATACACACTGAAAGCATCCTCTTTCTCTCCTATCTGAAAGAGCTCATCGATAAGTCAGGAACTAGTAGACTATCAGGCCAGCTTCAGACCTGCACCAGCTGTGGACCCCAACTGCCAGTCTACCCTGGCTTGCTTGATAGAGTCCCATGGAGTTAGTTGTGGGCTCTTCTCACCACACCAATCTGTATTTATCTTCTAGATTACCAGTTAACCATTTTGTTGGCACAGTCTTTCAGTGTGAATCAGTAATCTGTGATTATCTATCAAATCTCAAAAAAGTTTACTAATTTCTTTAAAAAGTAAGAGTGACATTATTGCCTGAGCTCATTCTATTCTATAGCAGTTAGTCCACACAGGAGTAAGTACAGCTGGAGAGGGTTTCAAGCGTTCCCTGGACAGAAGCTGGCTGTCTGGGTCCCCACTCTGCCCTGCCTCAGTGCCAAGAGCCGCACTTCTTAGTCCTCCAACCTCATTCTTTTCCAAAGGACCTGTGACATACCTTCTCTGAGTTTTAGCACCTTTCCTTTTCCCCAGGGGCCATCTCTTTTTCCCTTAACCGGTTAAGATCTTAAGTCAAAAAATGCTTACTGGGTTGTTAAAACTTGTCACCCCAGAGATGGGTGAGAGGCAAACTTCAGCTTTTTGATGTATCTCTGGAAAGCTTCATTTGTTCACATGAACTTATTTATGAGTTTTGGGTGAAATAGTTGACTAATAAAATGAAGAAGCAAGGTTCAATTTATAATGTTTCTATAAATCCAAAATTTCCCTACAATGGGTGCACCTTTTACCAGGAATATATTTATTTTCCTCTCCCCAACTGATTCAATCCAGAAGACTGGAATATCTGGGGTAGGATACTTGAAGGTAGAGGAGAAGCCAGTTATGCTCAGGAATAGACTAGAAGTGGGCTGCACCAGCCTAGGGAATCATAGGTAATCAAAGAGACCTGCCTTAGGCCTAAATGCCCTGAACTCGAATTGGATAACCAGAGACCTAACAGTGGCCTGGCCAGCTGGCATTATTTCTAGTTGTATCTAGACTGGCTGACAGGATCTTTGCAGCTACAGGAGGAGAAAGCATCTTTGAGTGAGGCTGTTGGCCTCCAGGAAGTCTGCAGAACCCACTCCTCTCTCTGACTACCACCACCACTGGGCCTCCTGGGGATACTGAGGAGCTCAGAGACTCAAATCTCTTTCCATCCTGGGAATGTTCCAGATCTCTGAGATACAGGGCCTTCCTGCTTTCTGTTCTGCTTCCTTTAAGGCAAGTGACCCGAGCAGTGCTGGGCTGGATCTCTCCAGCATTCCACCTAGGTCCACATAGTGTCAACGCGGGGAGAATGTGTCTGGGGCCCCCAGGACAAGGGACAACCACTGACCTATACGTGAACTTCCCAAAGAAACAGAAAGCCTGGGCTTTCTCTTACCTGAAAGGACTTAATAAAAGTCCACAGCAATGTCCGGATGCCTTCCCCTCTGCTGAGGAGCTTCACCAATCGCATCACTCGGAAAAGACGGAAAAAGGTGATGGAGATTCTATTGCTCTCTTCAGAGTTCTGAAGGGTTATCATGGAGAGGTCAAACCCAATGGAAAGTAGAACATGCAACACTTTCAGAAAAACAGCAATAGATGCAAAGGTGACAGAGGTAAGAACTGAAGATGTGTTTATAGGGCCTTTTCACCTTAAAAAGCATGATATGAAAGGAAAAGTTACATGCTAACAACACAGGGTTTGAAAAAACTGTCCACACAGCACATGCATGTCCACGTGTTCTACTGTGTTAGAGGAGAACGCTGGGCTGGCCAAGAGTGCTGGACACTGATGATGAATGCAAACCACTGCAGACACTGTTCTGGAAGGACAATCATGGAGAATACAGAAAAAACCAGTGGAAAACTCGACATGGTCAAATAAACTCAAGGAAAAGGCCCAGCCCCTGGGGACTAGTCACTGATCTTACCCCAGGTGTAGCAGTTGGGACAGGGACATTTTCACTTTCAGTTGGCTTTAAGAAATCAAACATTAAAAAATGGATTAATCAGGTGGGAAGGAAGAAGGGATTCAGAACATTCCACCCTTTTAAAAATGTGTGGTTAATGTCTTTGGACAACACACCTGCTCCCTCCCTGAGAAAACGCCAGTGACTCTAACTGGATGGGGGCAGCCATTGGCAGGGTGCAAACTACTGTTTTTTAATTTATATCCAGGGACATGAGGTCCCGGCTGACAGACAACAGTAAAAGATAATGCTGCCAGACCTCAGCTGTCCCTAAAGTCAGAAGCACAGAGGGTGCCTCCGCTTTTCTTAGCTCAGAGAAGCCCACTGTTCTGCAGCCACCTTTAACTCTAAGCAACGGGACAACTCCAGCTGCATTGGCAAACAGTGGCCCTGCCTGGGGTCCACATGCCTTCCCACAGGACCAAATGCCTCCCACCATGGCCTCTGACAGGGCTGCTTAGGAGCAGGACCAGACTGGCCAGAACAAGACCAGACTGGTTCTAGAGGCTTGCACTGCCTGACTTATAGCTTACACTGCTCAGATGCAAGGAAGCATAGGCCTGCAGGACCCTGTGGAGGACCAGCTTGCCCTGAGCTCAGCCATTCCACCTTATCCCAGGGCTGGCTGGGCTCCTGTCACCAGGCCCCAGGATGCAGACTCTTACAGCTGATCCTCACCTGGTTTCCTCACCCAAAGGGAAGTCAGGGGCCTTGCCTCACTCCACTCAGTGCCTAGCAAGGCACCTATCAATTGTTAAGTGTTGAAAAGAATGTAAGACATTGGCAGAGGCAGACTCTCGCCTATCCCCGGAGGCATCTTTAAACAGTAATTCTAAACTGAAGCAGAACTGGGATGTGACAGTCTCTTTTCCCTGCAGCGCTGCCACCTCCACTGCAGCAGCAGGTCTACCCAGGAGTTGACAGAAAGGAAAGAGGTTCGTCTGGTTGGGGCTTCAAAAAAGGCTGTCCAGTATGCCTATCAACCTAAGGGATATGTGCATGCCGCTCAGATGGCTTCATCCCTTGGGGACAAAGGGAAGGATAGGCTTGGTTCTGAAGCCTCACTCTCATCAAGGGCTGCCTCCCAACACCAAACAGAAAGTTCTGTTAAACTCATGGAGAACAAGGGGTCTGAACCCAAGAACAGGTCTGATAGTCAGAAAGGGTCACTGGTCCATCTTGGGATGCTTAGGATGGGAAGCTGGTAATGGCTCGTCAAAATCCAGGGTCAATATTTTTATTTTCCTCTATTATCTACAAACATCCTTACAGTGACAGCTCATGTTTTCAAACTTAAGACTTTTTTAAAAACGCCAAAAAACCTGTTTTCCAAAGTTCTCATCGTCTCCCACATCATTCCCCGAGGGGGACGTCACTCTTGCCCACACAGCAGGGTGTGTACGTGAGTGTGTGAGCATACATACACACCTCTGCTCGCCTCTGCTCAGGGGACCAGTGTGCAGAAGACGGAATGCTACAGTGACAATAGTGAAATGCCCCACAATGTGTTGGACCCATAGACCATAAGGAGAGGTGTTGGTTGAGAAGACTCTTCTGGCCCCCGTCTTCTGCTTGCCGCTATCCTGCTTTGTGTAGGTGAAAGCTGGCAGCCAAAGTGACTTTCAAGGTGTATATTTTTTAACTGACATCTTTGAATTGTGACAAGTCAGGGACTGTGAAGTCTGAACTCTCATTTTAAAACACCAAGAGGAGGAAGAGATAGTGTTTGTTGAGGTCTGAGACAGCACAACATGCGAGAGAGGAAGGGCTGGACAAACAGCACACCAGGCTGCATGCACCCCCAGTGTGGCCTGCGACATCACCCCCTCCCACCACAGGCCAGTGGCAGACAGAACTGCTTCAAGGCGGGGGATACCTGGCGGCACTGGGAGGACAGTTCAAGTTGCCAAAATATCTTCCCAACTGGAATGCCACTGAGAAAAGCTTCTCCCAAACAACAAATGTCAGCCCAATGGAAAGGGCAGGCCAGCTCTCATCCTGGGCTGCACACCAACTACCTGGGAACTTTCACAAAATCTGATGCCCAGGTCCCACCCAAAGACTTTATTATTATTATTATTATTATTATTGGTCAAGGGGTCTACCTGCACTATGGAGATTTTAACAAGTACATCAGTGATTCTAATGTGCCCCCAGAGCTGAGAATTTCAGTACTGCTTAGCCCAGAGTAAGGGCTGGGCCAAGCATTTATGTCACAGCTCACATCAGTAGAGTGGTCATAGAGTGGGGCCACTAGAAAAGCCCAAACAGGCTGTTACAGCTGGGTAGAGGCTTCTTTTGGAGTTGATGGCGGCTTAGTACTTGGATGCAGATATTAGAAATTCTTCTCCACCTTCCTTGTGGAAGGGTTGGAGGAAGCCTGGGAATTATAGCAGCTGATGGAGATGGGACACAAGTAAGCTGACACTATGCTTTACTCCTAGGACTGTCCATGGGACATGAGATAGAAGGCCATTTTTGAAAAGCTACCCAGGGAACAGGTCCTCCTGCAGATGGGGTGATCAGTTTTTAATAGCAGGGATTTCACCATCATCTCAGGACTGGGACGAGACTACCTCAGGAGCTGAGAGGTTATGTTCTTTACCTGTTTCCTGGGACAGGGACAGTATATGGAGTTGGGGAGGTGAGCAGCCTAACTGTGGGGTCAAGACAAGAAGCTGAGTGAAGTTATAATGACCTAGTCCAAACTGAGCACCTGACAAGCCAGGGACAATCCTCGGGTCCTGAGAGCGAGCTCCTGCTCTTTACAGACCCTTTGATAAGCAAAGGCAGCTATGATTTCTAAACAAGCTGTTGCCTCCCATGCAGTAACAATGGAGAAAGACAGAATGTTGGTGACAACAATCTCTGGGTCAGAAAAATGGACTGCTGGGTCATTTTACCATTCAAGAAACAAGCAAGCATCCAGGAGGGAGCAGAAGTGAGCCTACCAGTTGTCGTCCAATATTTTAGCAGCTTGGTGATGTTATGATCAAATGTGAAGGAAACGAGACTATGAAAGCTATCAAACCATGAAAAGCAGGGTGTGTGTGTGTGTGTGTGTGTGTGTGTGTGTGTGTGTGTGTGTGTGTGTGTGTGGAGGGGACAGAACAGAGAGCACTGGGTGAGCATGCATGCAGGACAATGCAAAGGGCCATCCAGTTTTGTTTTTTTTTTTAACAAGGAATACAACTGCAAGCTTATTTTCTCATTTCCAGGCCAGAAAATTGATTCTTGGATTGGCAAGTCTCAGAGCCAAGTGCGACTGACCAAGAAGGCACAAGCTCAGGCTCTGGCCAGAGACAGCAATGCATGTATGGGAGGGAAACAGTTTAGATGACCATGACTGATCCTTAGCATGTCCTGTGAAACTCAGTGAAAACCAAAGGTGGGAAGTCAAAAACAAGAATACAGTCTCTAGAAGTGCTTTAGCTTTAATCACTTCACCGTATATATGTTTATATATACTTGCCGCTACAATTTTCTAAAAATAAAACCAACATGAAAATCAATTAGGAAACAGAAAAGAAAGATCAACCGAGTTTGGGGGAGAGAGTACAGCAGATTAAGCATTGCAAAAAATGATGACATATGGAAGCTAAAACCAGCCAACACAGACCAAGAGTGCTCATGCTCAGGCGACCCAGGAGCTCAGGGGACAAGGCCACCAAGGTGTGACATGTATTGCTCCCCTGGAGAATGCCATAGGCATGGGGGTAGGGAGCCTGTGGGAATCAACAGTCCTGTTCTCATGTATTTATACCATCAGAGGTTAAGAATATCTAGTCTTTTTATCTTTGGGTCTTTCCAGAGCCTAGCCCAGGGCCTACAAATGGTAGACGCTCAAGAAATGTGTGTTGAAAGATTAAATAAATGAGGTGGCCTTGAGCACTTCCTCTGTGCCAAAGCTCAGTGGAGAAACACTGAGGTCTCCAGATGGTACTATACCAGCCCAGGGCAAGAAACTAATGTGGCATGGCTGAGCAGTGTTTGGTCTCAGGGTATAGCTGAGCAGGGAAAAGGTCACTGATTGAGAGCAAAGTCTAGGGACATTCCTGGCATTAGTGATTTTAAAAAGCTCACTAATGCCAGGAATGAAGAGGTCCCGCAGAAGCCTGTCTTGTACAGATACTCAATTGTCAATTGCTACCTAGAAATCTGAGTGGTCATCTGGCCCTTTCCTGATGCACAGTGAAGCAGGACAACACTGAGACACTGATGGGCGAGGCTGAGCCAGGGGAGGGGGAGACAGGTATGGTGGGAGGAGCTGGCCCCCAGCACATGTGAAGCAGCCAGGAAGCCAGGTGCTGCCCTGGACACACGGTGCCACTTTGCCAGCTAGCAGGTGGGGCAGCATAAGGAAGCAGGGTGCCCATTTGGTGAACAACCTTGGCTACATCCTGGTACCCAGAAACTAAGCATTTACACCATCCAGTGCTGCAGCACTTTAGGCCCCACGTGCTCCGAGGTGGTTGGCTGGGATGAGAGCTCTTGAATTTTTTCACTTTCATCATAGGCTTTCTCCGTCCCAGTCCCACTACATTAGGGTCTGTTTTGGAATTCTTATATATGTGGCAGGCACTTTATACTTGAGATGATTAAGCAGGCAGACGTCTAGCTGTAAACTTGTGTCCATGGCAGCCCAGTCTATTTTATAACTAAGATTCATTTATGAATCTTATCCCGAATGGCCATTTTATAGCTGCCTTATGGAATATGTCACACAAAGGAGAATTTACATAAGTCTGGACTTAAGGAGGCGGGGAGATGTTTATGCCTAGGCCTAGCTAAATACCATTCCAGAATCCTGTCATGACGTGGACATGGGTGTGACGAAGTCTGAATCATACCTTCTTGGACATGGGAACATCTTAAAGTCCATTTCATTTATCACATGGAAAATCTATACTTACAATAGTACTGTTATATCTCCCTAACATTTTGTATTCTTAGCAAGTATGTTTATGAATATTCAGATCATTTTATCTCCATAACAGACCTGTGAGGCAGGGAGGGCCTCACTCAATCCACAGGACCCATGAGGGAACTGAGGTCTGGGTCCAACAAGTCAGGCGTGAAGTAGGGCTTGAACTGCCAGGTCTTGTGATTGCCAGACTGGTGGTTATCCCACTAGTCACACTACAGAATCAGCCTGGCCTCATATAGGGTCAGAGAGGGGTTTCACCATCCTCATTTGATATACAGGCTGTCTGGGCACCAGGATGGACCCAAGAATCCTCAACTCTGAGAGGTCAGCCAGGCAGAACACTGGGAGGGGCAGGGCTGCACTGGCAACATGGAGCAGAAGACAAGACTACACAACAGTCCCTGCCCTTACTCTGCTTGTCCCCTCAAAGGGCACACACTGGACACCCACTAAGACTTGTTGAGGGACTGGGGCCAGACCAGGAAGCAGGGCCTTTCTGCCTGCCTGGGCCTTCAGTTGGGGTGTGGGTAAGACCATGGGAGCCGGATGGGAGTGGTGCGCCCCTTCTCAAGCTGCTTACTTCTGAAGGGGTTCTCAGGATGCTTGTGGAGGAGGCCTGCTTCACCTAGCAAGTTGCTATACACATGCTCCCTCATCAAGATTCAGCAGCATGTGACAAAGGAGTACTGACTTTCTCCCCAATAAGCAGCAGGCCCTCCTTGCCCCGGACCTACCAGCATCACCCCTTGGGGAGTCAGAGCCTGGCAGGTTCTCCAGTGTCACCAGCCAGACTCAGAGTATAGGCAAGGACCATAGCATACTCAGGTGTGGCTGTGGGGTCTCCCTTCTGCGCCTCCACAGAAACACTGTGGGCACAAGGGCATACATTAACTCTATTCTACAGCTGGAAAAACTGGGGCACAAAGCAATTAGGTGACCTGCCAAGATCACACAACTAGTGATTGGCGGCATTCACATTACACATACGATCAACTCCTAGCCCTTAAAATGTTAATATAAAGATCTTTAAAAATATCCTTCTCTTTCCGAAACAAAAATTCCAGGTTTACTGTCCCACTTCTTCAGGAGAAGAAGACAGAGGTGGGGGAGGGGAGCCTATAAAGGGCCTTCACATCTTGCAACAAGAATTTGTGCCTGGATTTCCAGAATGGCTGGACATTCATGGGGGCGGGAGGGGGGAGCTTCTAGTCTCTTCTATGTCAGACTTAATGAAAACAATCACATGGTAGGACACAAAGTTTGCTACTTACATTCACTTCAGTTATAGCAATATCAACGACGCTACCAACAACAATTAAGGCATCAAAAGTGTTCCATGCATCAGTGAAATAGTGCTGTTAGGGCAAGCATTCAGAAGCCACAGAGGAGAAGAAGCACAACAGGAAAAAAGAGAAAAGGACAGTGTTATCGAAGGGGAACATCTCAGCGTTATGCTACTCAGCTACTTGAAAAACTGCCCTAAGACAAACATGTCATAGATATATCCCTTTGGGTATCACTTCTGACACAGCAAATAAAAACAATTAGAGACACCCTAGCTTACCTTGCCTACCAGTGCCTGGGGTCAGTGCGGCCAGAAAGTCAGCCCTGCAAAGGTGGTTTGTGTCTGCAAAGGCCTTTTGGGTGAAGGCTCTACTCTACAGGGGTCTTTCCCACAGCTTTCCTTTAGGAAATGCTCAGTTTCGAATCGAGTACAATTGGGATCTGTGACTTGTCCAGGTGATGCCACTGCAGGGCAGGGAGCAGAGTGTGCAGACAGAGGAGAAAGGAGGGTGCAGGCCACACCAGGCGCATACTCACGTCGGCTTCGCTGAGGGCCACGTCTATAATGCTGCCGATTACGATGAGGGAGTCAAACGTATTCCAGGCGTCACTAAAATACCCCTGGACAGAGCAGGCAGGGGCAGACGTTCATGAGCACGTATGAATGAAACATCACACGGATCATATGAGGACATAATCTGAGTCCCCACAGCACCCATGGCAACCAGGTTGGGTGGTAAAGCCAAAGAGGGGGGGGCAACAATACTGTCCACTGGTGGAAAGGGCACAGAGGGGGCTTGTGTACCTCTGCGTGTGAGAGGGGATGTGTGTGAAAGAGGATGGGTGTACACTCATGCACACACGCACTCACACAGGCGCACGCACGCGCGCACACACAGACACACACACACACACACACAGCACAGACCTGTGGCCCTGAGCAGACAGAGGGCAACCCTACCCTACCACCCTGTGTGCTGATCTCACACCCTCTTCAGCTGACAGAAGGGTAAGGCTCTCCCACTCTTTTGAGGCTCTTTAATCACCCACTTGCTTCTCTTCTCTCACTTACAGAGCACTGTCAACAGTCATCTGGTTCCTTTTCCGGGCCCCTTCAAATAAATCAGCAGCCCTCCCCCAAGTGTAGTGGTCCAGAAAGTATGACCACGAGGGTGACCAAGAACAGTCCCTGGCTTCAAAGAAATTTTGGTCTAATGGGGATACAACTAGGTCAGGGCAGACAGAGAGATGGGCAGAGATGTGTGCACAGCCCTGAGGCATGGCTCTGTGGCAGAGAGGTCTTGGTTGTGGGGCGGGAGAATCAGCACAGGGAAGCCAAGGTGGGCTGTGAGGAGAAGACTACCATCAAAGGCCCCACCAGAAGCCTCACATTGTCAGCAGGCTCCACCCTCTGACTCAGCTCTTGCTCTCCCACTCTCTCTTCACCTTCCAGGTTAAGAGGACTCCTCTTTGTCCCTCAAAAACAGGAGCAGGTTTTTCCCCACCTCCAGATGCCTCTGCAATCCAAAACTCCTCAACCCAACTTGATCGTAAGTTTATTTCCTCCTTCAGGGTTAGATAAATATTAGCCCTTCACAGAGAAATTTCAGCCCCTCTGGACCGCCCACAACCCACCACATTGTGTCTCTCTCTCTCTCTCTCTCTCTCTCTCTCTCTCTCTCTATTGTTGAACACTGCACATCTACCACAATGAAAGCCTCTCAAGGGTGAGGACTATTCTGTCCCACCTCCACCAGCCCCATCCAGCCCAGTGCCTTGAATCTACTTGATATGTGAATGTGTCCCTTTCTCTATTAATCTGCACCTTACTGGTCTTTCCCAGTTACTGTTTTTTCAGGTCCTTATAGCTTGAGCCAGCTCTAAGGTACACCCTTAAACACGAGGCTTACAAATCCATGTATATGTGCCATACGTGAAGAAATTTTACGTCTTTTTCTGGGACCAGGACAGTAGGTGCTAAACCACTGCCGTTGTCTCCTGACACCCCTGGGAAGCCCTCCACAGTAGTGGTGGGGAAGGACTGAACACAGAGCCAGGAGGCTTCTGATTGCCACGGACCAGACTGCAAAGGCCCATGAGTATCTTCTGGAAAAGTCAGAGCACATTTTGGAAATAAAAATTCAGGTGTGAATGATATAAAGAGAGGCTTGGATTCTTATAATGGTACATTTAGTACTGTATTAAGAACAGGAGGTACTTTGAAGTGACAGTTCCCAGGAACTTGTGAGTAAACGCAGGCCTAGCAGAAACCACTGCAGGGCCACAGCCTTTTGTAACACTACAGAAAATGTGGGCATGTTGACTGCCCTAATAACTGGAGTAGGGATGTTCACTCTACTGCCTGTTAATCATTCCCCCTATTCGTGGGGGAGCCATTATACTCTCATGGTTTATTGTTTTAATTTCTCACTAAACAATGGAAGACTTCCCCATCCACCTGCCATGATTTCTGACCCACTCAGCCTGTCCCCCTCTGACAAACACAGTGCCGCTCTCACACTTGTCCCTTCCTGCCTGTCAACCTCCTGGCCCCCTATCAGCAGCCTAAGAAGCTGACAGGAGCAGTTAGTCTACAGCAAATCCAATGACCTATTCAAGTATAAGGAGAAGCTCTACTTCAAAGACACCACTTGTACTTCTCGGCTTGTCCTCTTATGAGTTCATGATTCTCTGCTGGCCACACTGCAGGAAAATGGGCGTCTGTGAGGTCTAGACCATGATGTGGTCAGAGGTGGGATACACAGCCAGCCCCAGGATGGGAAGGAAGACGTGTGTGTGTCCTTCACCAAGGTCTCCTGACACAGAAGGCAGCTGAGTCAGAGGGTGCCTTCAGTGTTGGAGCTGAGGTGCCCATGGTCCTCTTGTGGCAAATAGGTAACAAGCAGTTCTCTGATGGACAGCAGTGCCTCAGACTACACAGAAGGGCAGAAACTGCCCTTTTCCCTCATGGACTTAGGAGCATCTCAGAAGCTAAAGGGAATGTGGCAACCCTTCCCCTCTCCTGTGGGGAGGGATTTATGCCTTAATCAAATGCTTGGTCATGAGTAGCCACTAGAGCTCCAGGTTATTCCCATAGCAGTAAAAGCCAAGCATCCTTCCTTCTCTCCTGTGGCACAAAACCCATACCACATGCACCGCATCTCTCTCCTGTTACTTTGTGGGATTTGCCAGAGGCCAAACCCACCACTCCCTCCTGCGCCAGACAGCTCTCCCACTAGCCTTGGGATTTTACTCCTGACAGCTGTCCTACTCCTGACAGCTTGTCCCTCTCCTGAATGATCAATGCTCCCACTGTAGGGTTGTTCCCATCCACCTACAAGCTATTCTCCATGGAGGCAATCATCACTCACCAGAATGGATAAAATCCTTTTGAATTAATATGACAGGGGCTTAACACTTCTTTTGGGTCTTGGAGCTTTTTGGAAATATGACTCTCTAGAAAATCCCTCACACTCACAAAATGGCACCCAAATCATAATAATTCATGGACCAAAAGTTGACACCCCTAATCTAGACTATAGGAGGCTTGACTTGGTGCAGGTAGCTCTGACAGGAGGACAGGAGAGGCAGAAAATGTCAGTCCTCTTTTTCTTCCTACGTACTGCTTCCCTGTTTAGCAGCCTCCTATTTTGAAGAAATCACTGCTGGAGTGAGCATGACTCAGTCCCCACTCTTCCCCACCAAAGACCCACAGCATCTGGGTAACCAGAAGATAAGACAAGAGCTCCTAACCAGGGCCCATCTCCATGCTCTTCCTCTTGGCTGATGATCACTTCCACCAAATTCTGTAACTCTCCAGTGGAATGAGCAATCAAATCTATCTATTTCTCTATTTTTGTTTTTCAGCTCCACCTACCCAAAAAGACCAAGCAAGCCCACCACATGCAATCATATCCATTATTCAGAAACAATTCTGCCTCTGGAAACCTAAATCATGAACCAGATTAATGCAGACATTAGAGTCAGGAAGCTCCATTCTTTCTAAGAACCCTGTTTTGACTGTCTGTCGGTGTCTGTCTCCTGCCCGACAGCAGGCTCCTGGAAGGCAGAGGCTGGGCTATGACTATTCCTGGGCCCCTCGCCAGGATACAGCACAGGCTTGAGGATGGCAAAGGGCCAGTGTCTGGAGAATGGTTGCAAATGGAAAACAAGAAACTCAGCCCAAGTCCAGATTCCTTTTGCTGCCTGGCTTCACTTTTATCTGCAGAGCTAAAGAAACCCTCCACAAACAACCTGCCCTTTGTCCTTTACCATGGCAGCCAGATCACTTACTAACTTCTGGCAAGGACTGTTTGGGCAATATTTGACCCAAGTGATGACCTGTAGTGCCAAGTTCTGGTAGAACAGTAATGAGCAACTTTGTGACTAGCTTAAACCTTTCCAAAGGTAAAGTGGGGCTTAATGGGAAACATATCCCACTTTGGCAAACACTCTACCTAGAAACCGATAGAAAAGCAAGAGCTATCTTTGGCCAAGTTGTGCCTAGAGGCTCAAGCACTTATTCCTTCCTTCATCTCACCAATCTCCGAGTAACCACCTTGTAGCAGGCATCACATGAAGTACTGTGGACCCAAACATAGCCTGTGACCTTGAGCAGCTGCTTATCAGCAAACAGAGACTCAGCAGTGTTTATAGCAACACTGCATGGTAAGCATCTCTCAGATGTACCTCTGAAGGGAAATGTTGGCTTGGGCTGGGCTAGCAGGGATGTGTCTCCTGGGGAGGTTATGTCCAGTGGGTCTTAAAGGCTTCCAGAATAAGGTCTGTGGACCTGGAAAGGAGTGGCATCTTCACATTTGGGGATAGGGTGGAGCAGAAGGAATGTCGGAGAGAATGGCAGGAAAGGAGGTAGAAATGTGCTTATACAAGTGTTTTGCAGAGGACTTCAAATATTAGACTAAGAAAATCACATTTCTTTTCCTTGAACAATGAGTGGCCAGTGCCAGAAGAGTAGCCTGGTCAGTTTGTTATTTACAAAGGGAATAAGTACAGAAAGGGCTCTCCATGGGTGGGAGATCTCTGAGAAAGCAGGCATTTGCCCAGGAGAGAGGACAGTAGGCAAGGCTGGTGAGACAGCCGTAGGTACACACATATCTTACTTGGAGAGAAGAGGACTGGGAGGGAGCTCTGTGATACCCTGAGACTGAGGAACAAGATGAAAACACCCATCAGAAAGTCCAATGTGAAGTTCTAAGGGTGGTAATACTTGGTTTCTAGTATTATTTGGCATTGAAAAGAAATCACTTGGAAAGATGTCATCATTGAAGAACTAGAAAGGCAGTATCCAATTTTCTTTCCAGGAGGTGCAGAACATATTCCAGGAAGAATGTTGGCACTGTATTAAGAAGCCCTACTCCTGCCAGGGGCCCTGGAGCAGGGTGTGCTACCCAAGAGGTGGATGAGACCAGGCAACCCACAACCTACTGTGCTTTGGCTCTGTGTAGAAGTAAGGAACAGCACCAAACCCAACTCTTCTACTTTTTCCAAGCCCAAGTGGGTAGGAGTGTGAATTAGACATTTTCAGGATAGAACTAAGACCAAAAGGCTTAAGGACTAAGACATGGAACAGGGTGTGGCTCACTGGGAGGAAATCCCACAACCATGGCAGGTATCCTGGATCTGGACCAAGTTTTGAGATAAAACATCAGGTGGGTGGTATCCAGAAATAGATAGGTCAGGCCCTTATGACTCCACAATGTGCTCTTTATATTTGCTGGAGCCAACCCTCTGGAGAGGCCCTCTTTCCTAAACCTTTCTCCTTGGAGCATAAGAATTCACTGCAGAATTACAGCAGCTTCTCCTGGAGGTGAAGGCTAGGGGAACAGGGCTCATCTCTTACCTGAATTATGTTTCCAAACCCTACAGCTGCATGATCAACTCTAAGTGAAAAGCACAACCTAGAGTGCACCAGGTGGATTCCCCTGTGGGGTGCAATAAAATGTGCGTTCTGCTTGCCCTTCCCCAATTCTTTTGCTCTTTGGCATCTCATCACCTTCCACTCTTGCTTGTCTAGTGCTCAAAAACAACTCTTCTTATGAAGCAAGACTGCCTCCCCACTATGGAATCTCTCACCTCTGGGTCTCCCACCTCATCCCCTTCCTGCTTGTGGGTGTTGGGTAACTGACCTTACATGGCCTTGAACCATTTCCTTCTAAATGCACTATCTCCCAAGAGGCCCCATTTCTCAGATTCCTTATGTATAAGAAGTTCTCAGAATTAGGAAACTCAATTTTTTTTTAACCCTTGCATCCTGAAATGCCTTCTTACCTATCACTATGGATTTTTTTTTCTTCTGATTTCACTTTCTGAAATGGTTTATATGACAACTGCAATCTGTCTCTCCTAACAGAGGCTGGTGAGTTCTCCTAGAAGGCATGCTCTTACTGTGGAGAAAGCTACCCCAGGACTCTGATACAGAGCTCCTTAGGGGGACAAAGACTCTTTTGAGATGAGACTGAAATCCCCTGTGGCCACCTCCTTGGCACGTTCCTGTCTCTGAAGCCCTGACAACATTGCTCCTTGGCCCACTATCCCACTGTGAGGACAGAGGTAGCCTCCTTGACTTCTTTGTAAAAGACCACCCTCACCTGAACTTGGCTTATAAACATCAAAGAGAAGAATAAGAAATAAAGGTTTCAAGCAGAGCTTTGCTTCATGGTGATTTCATTTTCCCCTGCTCCACCAGGCACACAGTGATAGAGGACCCATCTCCTCTGGCTTGGGTGCTCTCCAAAGGCAAGGACGCTGTTGTTATTTGAAAAGTTCTCTCAACTGTAATTTGAGGTCATCTTGTGCTATGAAAATATCTTGCTGAGTAAAACTACAAAGCAATACAATGTGTGGCGGAAATCACCCATTTAAAAACTCTGATCTCTCAGTACTGATTATAAATTAGCTATTCATTTCCCTTGGGTATCACCCATCTGTTCACACGCCACAGAACTCTCCTGGGCTAAGCAGTGTGCTACAAGCCACCGGTGCACTGGCCTGCATACAAATGCACACGCGTGCATACACACTCACAGACTCAAGTACACATGTGTGCATACATACAAGCGCACTCTCACACACTCACATACTGTGAGTGGACTTTCTCCTCAGCTTGGTTCAAGCTTTCAAAACTTTCTGAGTTTAACCATCAGGCAAAGGAAGACATGGCACAGGGCCTCTGGGAAATGTTCCATAGGTGGGTTCCACATGCATTTCACAAGTACTTTCCACATTCTTACTCTGCAACCTTTTCCATCAGTTCAGACAAATATTGTTCAAAGAAGTAAAGGTGAGAGGGAAGCAAACCAAAATCTCAAAGGAAATTAAGATGAATTTGGAAAAGGAGGAAATGTTTATGTATGTAGATATGGACAAGTCACAGTAGGTAACATCTGGCCATGCATAAGGTGCCCAATTTGACCCCACTGCAATCATCCAATTAATCACTTACAAATGTCCTTTCTTTTTGGTCCACAAAGATCTGATAAAGATTGCATAGAAATTAATTCAAATTAAAGAAAGGAACAGTCTGGAATTAGAATTTCATGTAACTGTGGAGTATGTGAAACTATTTCTTAATCCATGGTCTTACTTAAATTAATGTTGTTAAGATACCCACTCAAAGAGAACCAATAACTAGAGCACTGGGTTCTGTCATCCTCTAACTCTTAGAGTTTGGGTCTATGCTAAGGAGGAGGCTGAGGGACAAATGCCTCATAGTTCAGCTCAGCTCAGCTTCTGTGTCTAGGGTTTTAGAATGAGGGAGCATCACTGATGAAAGTGATGGTGGCAGCTGGCACCACATGCCAGGCACTAAATATGGTACTTCTTCACGCCTCCATGAAAGAGGACTATTAGCATTATCATGTTATGGATGCAGAAATTGAGGCACATGGCAGTGAAGAAACTTGCTTAAGCTAGTAAGTGGCAGAGTAGGATCTGAATCCAGTCCAGTTCCAGATCTGTGCTCTTGGGCACTGAACTACACTGCCTCTTCTGATATAGCCTTTGGTGAGCATGGGACAGAATTCACTGTCCTCCAAAAGGAAAGACGATATGCTGAGCCCTCCAGTGTGGTTTAATATTTCACATCCCATTTTTCTTACAGTCGAGTGCAATTTTTCTAAATGAAACAAAAGATGGGATGACTGTGAGAAGTCTGCAGTTGGTTCTAGAACTTTACATAAAATGTGAAAGGTGTGCTGCAGAGCAAGAATAAACCAAAGTCTTCATGGTAGAAATCTGAAAGTAAAATCAGGATCAAACTCTGATGGTCATAATTTGGACCTTTCCCCAGTGCTCAGAGAATGAAGGTTTTCCTGAGATAGCATGAAACATGCTCTTCTAGAACCAGAAAATCAGGTTTCCAAACAATCTCCCCCCTACAGATTCCCAATTCTCTCCTCTTCTTTTTCTCGGAATTGTTTTCATGAGGTTTTGTTTCTGCAAACTGATTTTCCTGTGTGTATATAGATGCCCTGATCAGATTTTAATGTTCTCAGGTGATAACCCAGTTAGCAGCCACAATAACTGAGTGCAATTCAGTAACACAAGTCTAACAGGAAACTGGTGCTTTCTCTGAGTGATTGAGCAACTCACCTTAGGCTTAAATGCAATGACTTTCAAAACCATCTCGACAGTGAACACCCCAGTGAAGACCATGTTCAGAATGTCCATGGCATCATTGAACATCTTGGACTGCTCGTAGTGCTGTGGAGGAAGACAGAGGTATGGCTCTCAGAAACTTGGCCATGATCTCACACCCTCGCAGAAGGAGGCTCCCCAGCTCTCTGCAACCGTGTGGGCAATCTCCATGGTCCAGCACCCTCTCCCAACTCGACGGGCATTGCAAGGTCACATGGTAAACTCCCACCAAGCCCAGGGGGTCCGTGACAAGATGAGGATGATTGAATGATGGAGGGAAAAACAAGTCCATTCTCTCAGCTCAGGAGAAGGGGAGTTCACCCTTTCTTCTGGCAGGGCTTATACTCAGGCCCTTGATTAAGGCACAACGCAGACACTACCAAAATGTCTATGAACAAAAGCAAAATTTGATTAGGAATAAATCCTATGCCATTTAGGTCTATGTTTAATAAAAGGCAGAATTACTCTGATTTTATACTTTTTGCTATATCAGTTTGTATGGTCTAAAACAAAGGAGTGATCTTAAACAGTAAATGCTCTTTTTCATTCATAAGGAATTTTTCAGGTAAGGAAGCGCCAGAAAATTTATCCTCGACTGTCTTTATAACCATTTTCCAGATTGCAAGGAGAGTTGGTTTGACAAGTTCTTAGAGTCCAGGCAAAATCTAGATCTAGACCTTGATCTTCGCTTGCTGTCCTAATGTGATAGCTACTCGTCAACATAATTCCTGAAAACATTCACTGTTGATACCAAATTAAACCCTGACTCAGGCAATTTGAGTGAAATGTATTCCTTGCCCCTGATGTCAGCTAGAAGTAACTATAGTTCAGATCAAACCCAGGATTTCATGAATCATAAAATTCCCCACTGCCATGGTGGAAAGCCCCTTGAAAATAAGTATATGACTTAGGGTTTGCTTTTTGACTTTGGGTGTTCATGGTGTGTAGCACCTGATACAAATAATTCAGCTTAAACCTCATCTCTGAGGTAGGTGTGTCAGATTTCCCCATATTACCTATTAAGAAAGCCAGGTTCAGGGAATTAAATAACTTTTCTAAGGTCACCCAGCTGATAAGGAGTAATCAGGATTGAAGTTCCTGCCTGTTCAAGTCCAGAACTTTGGTCCCTTTTTTTTCCCCCGCCTCTGGGTACTGGTGATTGACCTCAGGGGCACTTAACCACTGAGCCACATCCCCAGCTCTATTTTGTATTTTATTTAGAGACAGAGTCTCACTGAGTTGCTTGGCATCTTGCTTTTGCTGAGACTAGCTTTGAACTCTCAATCCTGTCTCAGTCTCCTGAGCCGCTGGGATTACAGGCATGCGCTGCCGCACCCCAGAGAACTTTAGTACTTAACCATTCCCTGGCCATAAGAGGCCCATGTAGAATTGAATGCCACATGCGGGATCCATGGGAATGTTACCTACCATCATGCTGTATGGTCTCAAACAAAGGAGTGACCTTAAACATTTACTGTAAGAGTCAGCCAGAATGGACTCTGGCCATACTATAACCCGGACTCATCAGAACATCAAACCCATCCTCTTGTGAGGGGGCAGCACTCCACCCTGAGAATCTGGGGTACAGGGCTGTGCAGAATGCCCAGACTTGGTCCCCACAGCTGTCTCCATTTTTACCTGCATGGCCAAGCAGAGTGTGTTGAGCATGATGAGGACAAACATCATGTATTCGAAAGGCGAAGAGTTCACCACGTACCAGAACTTGTACTGGTAGGGGTTTTTGGGGATGTATCTCCGCAAGGGACGTGCTTTCAAGGCGTATTCAACACACTGACGCTGCAACGGCAGAAAAGGGCAAAGAAGAGGTTCTGAGCACTTTGAGGGAAGGAGCCGCGGTGGTCATCTGCTCTGTAAGAGTTCACTCTAGCCTCCTAAATAGAACATAACTAGAAGCCACCACCCTTCCTGCCACAGCACCACCAAGGTCTCAGCCTCCAGTGCTACCATTGCATCATAGGAAGTAAGCAGAGCCCCCATTTTTCTTATGAAAAAAACTAATTCTGAACTTTTGCTTTTTATGCTGAGGACGTGCAGTGTGAGCACGAGAGAGCAGACTTGGTCCAGGCCTCATCACTGCCTTTCCCTTCCACTGTTGGGCCAGGTCCTTTGCTGAGCTGTCCTTGGGGACAGGAAGCCAAACACCCACAGGCACAAGCTCATCAAGAGCCAGAGGGGCTGACTTAGTCCCCGAGAACGGCAGCACTCAGCTCCTCAGATGGACCCACATAAGACACCTCTCAGGAGTCAGAATGTGTGACTCATGGTGAGCTGTCCATGCGTCTATCTGGGAGCTCCAGGGATTTAGAATCTCCAGGATATGGTTGGTATTGATGGCTGGATTAAACTAAGTTTGTGTCTATCCAGAGACCTATCCTTCCTACTTGCTCTAGGGACAAAGACTGGTCCACCCTCTGCATCAAGTCCAGAGAGAGCCTCCATCCCCAGGAGCCTTTAGGTCAGACCAGAGGCCCTGGCTCTGCACCTACTCTCCTGCTTTGACTCTAGATGCAGGCAGGCTCCCTGCGTCTGGGACTTGGTACCATTCCAACCTCACATACTGACACCAGGGACCCAATTCAAGCTTTTTTAGAACTTCAGGTGCCCATCCACAGCCCTGGCCCTGCCCTCATCTTTCTTGGAGCAGATGAGTGGGTACAGGGCTAGGCCAGGCTCCCTCAGACTGTACTGTGTGGGATCTGCAAGGACACCCTGACAACCCGAAGGAAAGTTCTCCTACAAACCAAGCCAGAATATCCTCACATTTCTATAATGGGCATAGCTACAGCCTGAAATCCCAGGCTGCTGGATCATTCTTATTATTTCATCACCAAAGCAGAAATGCTACCAAAAGAGGACTAGGGAAACTCCCAGAACAGGCTTTCCTCTCACACTTTTTTTTAGGGTTCAAAAGAACCTCTAAGGGGTGATTCCTTAATGCCCTCAGTTAGAGATGGGAGAGCAGAGACATACCTAACGTCACAAAGCAGATGCAGGCAGGCAGGGCTAGAGCCCAGGACTCCTGGCTGCCTCAACGCACCTTGCAGAGCCAGAGGCTCCTATTTCTACCAGATTGGTTAAAACGAAGTGTTAGATGAAGAAATAAGGATGCCACTCAAACCTTAATCTCCAGTTTAAAGTTTTTGACCTCCCTTCTGGTGTTAGAGGGGTTTTCCTCCTCAGGGGCAAATCTGCTCCCCAGGAGACATCTGGCAATGACCAGGAATGTTTTGTTGTCACTACTGGCATCTAGTAGGTAGAAGCTGGGGATGCTGCTAAACATCCTACAGTGCCCAGAAAGCACCAACAAGAATTATGCAGCCTAAAATATCAATAGTGCCATGGTAAAGAAATTCTGGCCTAAGCAGATACTAAAGAGTCTCCTGGTAGAGACTGGAAACTCGAATGGGTATATACTGGCCTCAGGCCACAAGGCCCTATAAGATTCTATGCCACCATTCCTGGGCCATGACCATGGAAGGAGGCCTAAGTATTCTCTGATTTCTCACTAAGGCAACTGTAAATGGGTTTTACAATCATGAAATCTGCTTTGTATATGGAAGCCTAACTCAGCAGGCATGACTCAAACTGGCTGAGAGTGCGCTCTGAATAGGGCTGAGCCCAGGGGCACCCTTCTCTGAGTGCAGGGTGGTAAAAGAGATGTTCAGCTCTTGCTCGAGGGACAAAAGCATAGTGTGTGACTTTAACCTGATTTTTGTCCAGCTCACAGTTCTTATACTCTTTTTCTCCCTGCTCCTGAAATGTTACGATGACAAAGCCCACAAAGATGTTCATCATGAAGAAGGCGACAATGATGATATAGATGATGAAGAAGATGGAGATCTCCACTCGGTAGTTGTAGACTGGCCCAACATTCTCTCCATTTGAGTCAATGGCTTTATACAGCAACCTGGAGAGCAGAAAAACCAAATAAGGACCTCCCAATCCCACTCTGCCCAAGTGACCCAGCCCACGGCCTCCCCCAAGATGTCCCCAGAGTTCTTCTGAACTCCTGTGGGCACTGTTTCTCATCTCCTCACAGGGTGCCACCCAACAAGGCCTCTGGATACAACCAGGACTCTGAGGCCCCTCCTCAGCTTCAGGCCCTGAAGCTGACACCCAGAGGAGAGGAACCTACAATATAATCATGTAGAAATTATTTTGAGGACTGAAAATGAAAAGATTTCACAAGTAACACTCCTTTCTATTCACAGAGGAGAGAGGACGAACATCATGTAACATACCGGAGGAACCGAAAACTACACAGCTGGCAAAGACAATAAGTATCTGACCCAAGCATTTCCAAAGAACTGAGGGGAGTTTCTCAAACAAAATATGCACAACACATAAGTATACATCAAGCAGAACTCTTAATGGGAGTAGGAAATGTACACTCTGACTTTAGCTGATCCCCCAATACAGATGCACACACCCATGGTGCCCAACACTCCTACATCCTCTCCTCTCATCTTTGCACCTGGAAAGACTAATATTGCTGTCACCCCCCATTTTATGGATGTTCAGAGAGCAATTCAAGCACCCAAGGTCACACTTCTCAGGGACAGAGTCAGGAGGTGAGCTCAGTTCCTCTGAGTGCTAAAGCACAGCATCCTAAACCTGACACTATGGCCACCACCTGTTCAGAGTGACCACCTTACTCCATGCCTCTTTTCTCAATGGACCAATTTTCTAATGAGCAAACACCACTCAACCATCCCTTGATCTCACAGAAGCTTCTGATAATCTGTGCCTTTCACTTGTATCCTGAGAGCTCTGCCACCTGCTGTGGCTGCTCTGGGCATGGGGCATCAGAGGGCAACCAAGGTACAAGAGACTCTCCCATTTGTGTGCCCCTTCTTCCTTCTTTCTGGTCTGACTTTTCCCACCTGAATCCTAGCCATCCTCCAGGACCATATTCTGTATGTCGAGGACATACCAGAGCTCCTGCCTGGTTTGACCCTGACACCCTTACTGGATCTGTGCTTTGAAGGAGGGAATCATGCTTAGCCCACGGTTTTACTTCCATAGTACCTGGCACAGCTTGTTGAATAGAGCTGATTTCAAAAGCACATTTAGTGAATGAGCCAGCAAGTGCCTTAATGACAGAAAAGGCATGATGGAAACCATCCACACCTGGCACATGTTAGCACTCTACATATCAGAATGAATGAGCGAATAGGTTGGGACACTTTCAAGACCCTTATTAGGAACAACAGAATGGCACCTTTACTGAAATGGTTACCAACGGGGATTGGCACACACATGCCTCTCAGAACCCCCTGGTCCCATCCAGCGATGCTGCCCAGGACCTATACCATCTCTGCTACCAATGTGAGAGTCCTGTTAGCAGGCCACAGATGTTAGCCATTTGACTCATCAGAGAGCAGAGCTCCGTGGGCCAGGAAGGGATGATCAATGCACCAAAGTAAAGAGAGTCACGGGACAGGCCTGTGACTGTGAACAATGGAAATGAGACTCACTCTTGGAGAGGACTCAGCCCAGAGGCCCCCAGAGGAGCCTCATCTGGAAGACTGCACATTTTCTATACTCACGCAGGCCAACCCTCAAAAGTGGAGACAGTGAAGAGCGCCATCATAGCGGAAAGAACGTTGTCAAAGTTGAAATCGCTATTTTGCCAGATCCTCTCACGGACCACAGGGCTATCCACATCCCCATCCTTGTAGAGGATAAAAAGTCCCCTAGAGAAGAAAAGAAACAGGATTTGTCCTGGTTTTACACAACATGGGTAGAAATAATTTTAAATCAGCCATTCAGCCCCAGACTTTCTTCTAGGCACGTCACACCCAGCCTTACCTGAGCATAGCACAAGTAGAGTCTCTCCTGCACGCTCCCTGCATTTAATCTAGTCCACAGTTTGAACAATTGTTGAATAACTGCAACGTGCATTCTCCAAAGCAGCTAGGCAGACACCCAGTGTTTTTTTTTTTTTTTTTTAACAGATGAAAACCACAGGATGGGTAAATGTTTCTCATAGAAAATAGACTCAGAGTATATACATAAGAATCAAAGCCTTGTTCATAGAGAATTTTGTAAGCTCTGGGAAACAAGCCCAAGTAAACTCTTTTTAAAAATATATATATTTATAGTTGTAGACGAACTCAATACCTTTATTTTATTGATTTATTTTTGTATGGTGCTGAGGATGGAACAAAGAGTCTCACTGTGCCAGGCAAGTGCTCTACCACCTAGCTACAACCCCAGCTCCCAGGAATATTTCTATCTGCATTTTAGTTTACATCTAATCTCTTTCTTTTATTACTAATGGCGTTCCCAATTTTTCCTCCAACAAATCCATAGTTTTGGGCATGTGATGTTTCTCACAGAACTTTCCTTCTGGAAGGAACTCAAGAGAGACGTCCGTTATCGTTATTCTACAGATAAGGAAGCAGAGGCTTTGAGAAGGAAGAGATGGTGTCTCCTCACTGTTGCTGTGGACTCAGCTTCAGGGGCACTCTGCACCACACAACCTGGGTGCTGGTGCCTCTAGAGTGGCACAGTCATAGTTAAATTGCAACTGGTGGGGATCTGAGGGCCAAACATGGATGCCTAAGGCATTTCTGGATCCTAGAGTCTAAACATGGATGGGTGCCTGATGAACTTCTGGTTCCGGGGGCTTAAACATGGACGTGCGCCTGAGGAACTTCCAGATCCGGGGGCCTAAATGTGCACCTGAGGAACTTCCGGATCCCGGGGCTTAAACATGGATGTGTGCCTGAGGAATTTCTGAGGGTCTAAACATGGATGCCTGAGGCATTCCCGATCCTGGGGCCTAAACATGGACGCCTGAAGCACTTCTGGATCCCAGAGCCTAAACATGGATGCCTGAGGAACTTCTGGACCTGGGGGCTTAAACATGGATGTGCACCCAAGGAACTTCCGCATCCTGGGGCTTAAATGGATGTGTACCTGAGGAACTTCTGGATGCTACATGTCCAACCTAAACATGGAGGACTGAGGAACTTCCGGATCCTAGAGCCTAAACATGGACGCACACCTGAGGAACTTCCGGACCTGGGAGCCTAAACATGGACACCTGAGGCACTTCTGGATCCTAGAGCCTAAACATGGATGCCTGAGGAACTTCCGAACCCGGGGGCTTAAACATGGACGAGCGCCTGAGGAACTTCCGGATCCAGGTCCTAAACATGAACGTGCACCTGAGGAACTTCCGGATCCAGGGGCCTAAACGTGGATGCCTGAAGCGTTTCCGGATCCAGGGGCTTAAACATGGACATGCGCCTGAGGAACTTCTGGATGCTATGGCCTAAACATGGATGCCTGAGGAACTTCTGAATCCTAGAGTCTCAACATGAACGTGCACCAAAGGAACTTCCGGATCCTAGAGCCTAAATATGGACGTGCAACTGAGGAACTTCAGGATCTGGGTGCCTAAACATGGAGGACTGAGGAACTTCCGGATCTGACAGCCCAAAGATGGACGTGCACCTGAGGAACTTCCAGATCCGGGAGCCTAAATATGGACGCCTGAGGCATTTCTGGATCCCAGAGCCTAAACATGGATGCCTGAGGAACTTCCGGACCTGGGGGCTTAAACATGGATGTGCACCGGAGGAACCTCCGGATCTGTGGGCCTAAATGTGGACGTGCACCCAAGGAACTTCCAGATGCTACGGCCTAAATATGGATGTGCGCCTGAGGAACTTCCAGATCCTGGGACCTAAATATGAATGTGCACCCATCGAACTTCCAGATCCTGGGGCTTAAACATGGACATGTGCCTGAGGAACTTCCAGATCTTGGGGCCTAAATATGGATTCCTGAGGAACTTCCGGATCTGAGGGCCTGAACTTCCGGATCTGAGGGCCTAAACATGGACGGTCTCTGGAACTTCTGGGTCCTTGTGCCTATAAAGGGCAGGGCATGACTCTCAGAAGGGATGTGGCCCATGAAGGGGAGCCGAGTATGGGGCCTGTTGGGAGGCAGCCTGAGCTGTTACACCCTGAACTTGAATGTGATGGTGTCCTCACTTCCCGGCCTTCCCCTGGGTGTCACTTCCTCCCCTTCCAGGAGGTGCCAGGGAAGAAGTGAGACAAGCTCAGGGGCCAGGCCTTGAGGAGGGACACTGTCTTTCTCCTTGCTTAGTCAGGCGCCCGGCCTGGCTGGGGACAAGGATGTCTTGTGACACTGGCTGCCTCCTGCATCCCTGCCCCAGGACCTCAGGGACCACAGGCAGGGCCAGTCATTGATTCTCCCCTGGCCACTGACCCTTAGCCCCTGGGTCTGCCCAGGGAGAGCTCTGTCTCCCAGAGGGTCAGGGGGCCCCTGTGAACTGCTGCTCCTTACCCACTGTCATCCTGGGCAAGCACAGGTCAGGACACCAGACGCTACCGAGAGTGACATCTCCTAGATGGGCGGCTGGGGACTTTGCCTCTGTCCCCAGGCTCAGACACCAGATGATTTCCCGCCCCCCAGAGACAGAAAATAACCCCACACTGCCTAAGACTTATTTTTAAGCTTTGGATTCTGAAATTTTCCTGCTGCTACCTTCTTTGTAAAGCCAGTTTTTCAACAGAGACAATATTCCAGGGGAAAAAAACAAAACAAAACATGCAGTCAATCAAACTAAGCTGACACAACTGGTCCTCCAAGAGAAATATGGATTGGAAGGAGAACAGCCATTCTCAACTGGCGAAATAATGAAGTTCCCTTGTCCTTATTTTGTGTAAGCAAAATAAATAATCTGATGTTAACTCAAATTATTTTTGATGAGTGTTTTATGGAATGAAGTGTTACCTGATTTTAAAATTTAAAATGAAGCCAATTAGAATTGTTAAATTACACGGTCATGATTCTGTTCTTTGATAGCAGAAATAAACTTGTTTTTTTTTTAAAAAAAAATTGCAACTGGTGCTCTATGACTACACCTTCTGTGTAAAGGAAGCCCCTAACCAACATCAGCAATGTGGGCAGCCAGACTTCGGTTGGTCAGGTCTCTGAAGGATGGGAACACACAGATTCTGCTCAGCCCCAATCTCTGAGCAAGGGTCTCCATGCCTGCCTTCATATTCAATGGCCACCTTTGGATAGGAGGCATAAATATTTTTACTTTCTGTCTCCTCTGCCAGTTCTTATGAATGGAATTATGGTCAAAAACATGGATGACAGGAACAAGGAGAGAAGAAGTTTGGAAAATCTACCAGAAGAGGGTAGTCAGCTTTCAAACACCAGGGAGTTGGCCTGCATGTCCTTATTTGGGAGCAAATTATCCACAGGGATGTAAGGAGAGTTACTTGGGGCATCTCATAATCATTATTTTGAAGCCCTAGTTTGTAAGTTCTATACCAAATAGCAAGATCCAGCTACCCATTCCATTAGGATGATCAAATTTTGGAACAAGACACAACTGCTTGACTGCACTGACACAGCTACACACTTTGAACTGATTTTATGTTAGGTAAATCTCACCTCAATTTTGAAATCAAATGAACTACAAAAAATAAATAAAATTTTAAAAAACACCAAATATCCAGCCATGAGCTGAGCACACAGGCCTCTTATATTCCTTGGAAATTCCTGAAATGACTCTGCTCCCAAGACACTCACCTGCATTCTTCAGGATTACTTTTGGCTTCATCTGTGCAGCGATAGAACTTCCCCTGAGTACAAAACAGACAGATGACAGTCAGGCATGGGCTCCTTTTCAAAGCATCACCTGGCCACACGTGAAGTGCACCCCTCTACCTTGAATAACTGCACTCCGATGCAGGCAAACATGAACTGGAGGAGGGTGGTGACGATCATGATGTTGCCAATTGTCCGGATGGCCACAAAGACGCACTGGACCACATGCTGGGGAGACAAAAGTGGGGAGAGGATGCAGGGGTGTCATTTCCTTCATTACTTTAGCATTAATGAGCTAACACCAGTCTAGGGCTTCTATGTGTGCATTTTTCATGTGATTTCCTGACTCTGCAGTCCCTAGTATTTGTTTTTTCAGGTTATCTGCAGGAGGTCCCACACTGCATTGTGGCCCCCGTGGAGGAAACCAAAGAGGGGCCCACTTACAAAGAAGGTGGTTTAATTAAAAAGAAATGCTAGGGGGTATAGCTATTCCTGGCATACAGGTGCCGCAATGTCTTCCTGCCCCCAAAGGACTTAGGAAAATGCAAACTCTTTAGCTTTTTGCATAATCTGCATGAGAGTAAAGACTAAAATGAACAAAAAGAACTATTACTGAATGAAAAAAAGTAATAAAATGAATAGTAATCATAAAGAAAAAGATCTCAAACAGTAATGTCATCAGTCTCCACAAAGGTGTTATTAATTGGTGGGAAAGGCCCCTCAGCTTAGCTCTGACCCAGAAAAGTCAGTAACTGCAGCCAGCCCTGCTGGAAGGAGAGGAATCTGTACCTTAAGCCCTTTTGCTCTGTTGATTGCTCTAAGGGGCCTCAGGACCCTTAAGACCCTCAGAATCTTCACGACAGAGATGGCACTGGATCTGAGGAGGAGCAGAGGCAAACCAACAAGAAAGTATTAATGGATACAATATTTTGAGATTACTTATTTCACTTGATCTTCATCTCTTTAATACCAGTACACAACCTGCTTGGGATCCATGGAAGCTGATCTGATCTCTCTCCAAGACTGGTCTCCTTCCAGCACATCCAATGCATCCTGAGCTGAGCCCAAGGGTACTCACAGAGGCCCTGCCTCAGGCACATGACTGATCTTGGCAGAGATGCAACTAGATGCAACTTACAAACTTGCTTTGTTCTTCTCAATGCAAACACTAGGTAGTTCTTGGATTTTAGGTTGCAGTGCTTTGGTACTGGGGCTTTTCTGGCCTCTAAGAGTTAAGTCTGGTAGGAGAGATGGGCAATCAAAACCCTGAGTGGCATGTGCCCCAGTGGGATAAAATGCAGTGTGCACAGCCTTAGGGGTAGCCTGCAAAGGCCTCCCAGGGAGGTGATAGCCAGGTTGAGTCCCAAAGGAGGAATAGGAATTAGCTAACAGAAGGGAAGGGCTCCAGGCTGAGCAAGCAGCACATTCAAAGGCTCTACTGGAGAGAATGCAGCTCATTTGCAGCATTGGAGAAGGTTGGGAGTTACTGGAACTAGGCTCAGGAGCTGCAGCCACCTCCATCCTGTATGAAAAAATTGAAGCCAAAAAGAAAGGTCACAGCAGCTGCTGCATCCCAGATGCCCAAGAAATCACATTTAGAGTGGAAGGATCCAGGAGAGGGCCCTTGTTCCCTGGCCCTCCTGTGGGAAAGGGGAATCAAGATCCCAAAAGGATGCTTTCAGGCCTGGAAGCAAACCCTGGAGGAACCAGGACTAGAACCTAGCTTCCTCCCTCCTCAAGATTTCTTTCACTCACTGCTAAAAGAATTTCAAAGGGAGTAATAAACCTATAAATCCAATCTAGCAGTGAGAATAAAAACTAAAAAAGAAACAGGAAAATATGAATTGCCCCAGTGCTTCTGGCATGGGGGCAAATTAAGCAATCCTGGCTAAGTAAATAGAGTTAATTAAAACAATGCTAGCCCTCATGAGTCATATTAAAATTCCTATAAACCATCTTGCCAAAGGTGTTGGGTACAAACACACGCACACACCCCAGAATACTTACTGAATCCCAAATGACACCAGAGATACTCCAACAACCAGCATATCCAGCAAATTGAAGTAGTTCCTGCAGAAAGCTCCTTTGTGCAGGAAAGCTCCAAAAGTCGTCATCTATAAGCAGAATCATGGGTCATTTACTGTTTTTTTTTTTTTCTTCTTCTTCTTCTCTCCAGAGGCAAAGCAACCTGTGCTCTTCACAAAATCTCTAGGAAAGCATGACTTTATTAACAAGTACACATTAGGAAGTCAAAAAATGTACACCAGCAGGACTGAAAGACCACAAACAAGTATTCAAACAAAAATGGAAAAGGGACAGCTGACTTCCAACCCATTTTTAAAGTGACCAACTTAGATTTTATTACAAGCACCGATTTCACACATAAACACATTGTTGGCATGTCTACAAAGAGCCTATCTTGGAAGAGATGCCATGTGACTTTGTCAGCACTGCTCAGACCACTCGGCCTCCCCGCCAAGTGCTGGTCTAGCCTCCCAGAGTTTCCAGTGCAGCCTACATTGTTACAGTTCGGCCTTCCTCCTGGAGGCTAGAGAAAGCACAGGAGTCCAGCACTCACAGGCTCTAGCTGCGTAGAAACTTCCATCCTTTGTCCTTGATGGTCCCATATCATTGCCTCTAGAGGTCTTTAATGAGCTACCTGTTTCAAAGGGCACTGCCAATCCTAACTGTTCTACATGTACCAGGTGTGGCAAGGAAGCTATCATGGGACATCACACCTGTGTCAATGTCATTTTTTGTCACTTGCTGTGCACTCCCGGAGTATATACTATGGGTACTCCAGGGAGGTTTTCTACAGGCAACAGGAACAGTTCCCCAGAGAAAAAATAACTCTATAGAGTTCACTATTCATTTAAAAGATAAAACCAAACAAAGGTGAGGAACAGGCTCCAGTATATACAGCCAAGGAGAAGCAGAGTTGGGAGATTATCAGCTCTAACCTGATTAAATTGCCAATATTCAAACCTTTGACCTTCAAAATGGCAATTGCAATCAGTTAACCAAATAAAAAGTCTTCCAAATGGCCAAGGCCATCAGGAACCAGTACTTCAGATGTCAGATAATTTTGGGTCCACCTCCATTTTCTGAATGCTTCTTGTTTCAGTTTCTATTCTCTAAAATACCTTCAAAATGAAGAACAACTTAAATGATTTAAATCACCAAGATAAAAATATGGAAATTTAAAACCAGCTATTATTTTTCTCCCTTTAAAGTAACCCAGGATCTCATTTCCCCAAAGCCCAAGAATAACTATACTTAACAACTTGAAAAGGTGGAAAATCAAACAAAACCTCAATTAACCAGGCTGAACTCAAATTTCATAAGATTTGAAACAAAGAATTTAAACAGATATTGGTTGGTTGTTGGTTTTGAGCTAATTTTTCATTAACAATAACCACAAAGAAGCCATTCCCTGGTCATGTTATTTGAGGTTTCCTTTATAGAAGATTTTGTGAAGAGACCAAGTTCCACAGTAGTCCAATATAAAATAATTTTTTTTTCCACTGACATGCACACATCAAAACCTCAAAATAGTTTAAAGAAAACTGTGGTTTAAAATATTCATTTCTCAGCTTCTTCCTACTAGGAGATGGTTACTCCAACAGTTCTCATGGCCCTGTTCTCCCAGAACCACAAGGACCCACTCCTGGAGGTTCTTAGCTCTGTGCTGTTGGTCTCTGGACCTCTGAGCAAGTAGGAATGAGCTGCTCCCATGGGGCAGCTTCCACATTCAGTACACAAATCACATGCAGCAACAGCAACCGTTAGCTCATGCATGGGCACTACATTTAGGTTGCTCTATCTGAAGGGTGCTCCTTTTGTTTGTGTAAATGTAAGCCCATCCATTAAATCAGAGAGTAAATATCTTAACACAGGTAGACCCAAGTTATCTTGCAAATCTTGTTGCAAGAAAATAGTAGGCCACGGAGAGAATAGTGCAGTCAGGGAAACGAGGAGACACACATTCCCTTCATAGGATCAATGTTTTTCCTCTGACTCTGATGTCAGGAAGGGTTGAAGGAAGTTCACACAGTGCTATGTCTGTTATCAATGGACTGATTTCAGAGGATTTTGTTTTAAAGAAGCAAAATATAATTCCCTAGTAACTATACTGTGAAGCCAAAGTAGCTCCTACATGCACTCAAAGATTAAAAAGGAAACAACACCAAAAATAAGTTGGAATGGTCACAGAAAAAAATATTTTGGTTAAAGGGGGGAAAAAGTTTAGCGTGGCCACAGAAGACAAAAAATAAAAAAATAAATAAAGTTAAAAGCACTTCACGCTTCTTTCCTGTGTCTCAAACACAGGAGCAGGTCCTCAAACACACTGCTGGGTAACCTGTTACCTTCAAAATGATCTCAAATGCAAAAGTACCAGTGAAGACATAATCTGCATAACCTAGCATCTGGAAGGTAAACAAAGAATGGCAACTATTATTCTATGGCTGCTTTAGAGTAATGAGAATCAATGAAAAAGCCGTTACCTTTAACAGGATTTCAACAGTAAAGATGGCTGTGAAAGCATAGTCAAAGTAACCCAGAATCTGCAAGGCACAACACGTGGAAGTGAGAACAAAGCATCCGGACAAGATCCGACTGCTACATGCCCACCAGCAGAACCCCCAACTGTGGCCAGACTGCTCTCCCAGGACAGCTCTGCTGCTCTGGAGGTAGACCACAGATGCTCCTGTAGGCCCACCTCAGTTCAATGACAGCTCTTCTTTGTAACTGACAGGGGCACGGGGCTCCTTTAGCCCCTCTGCTGACTGGCTTCCAAGGTCTGTATCCTGGACCAAAGGGGGCTGGTTTCTAAAAATGCTGTATTGACAACCTTTCCTCATCAGTGCACTGCTTCTAGTCATGACTTGTGGCCCCTAATAAGACAGTCACGTACATTTTGGAGTTTTAACTGTTTGGGGGTGGGGGTGTGAGGCTGAATGAAGTATGTCACCACCCGGCAAGTTTCAGGTTAGAAAAAAGATGTCAATGGCAGGGCTAGGGATGTAGCTCAGTAGCAGAATACTTGCCTAGTGTGTGTGAAGCCCTGGGTTTGATCCCTAGCACTGCAAAAAATAAAAAATTTCAAAGGTGTTACTGGCGTCAAATGGAACCAGAAGCTTCCACATGTCCTGTTGCAAACTATTTAAACATTCTATTTATTTCTATTTAAACTGTGCACAATAGCACTCACCCCCATGTGTAGGGCTGGTTCAGTCTGCAAGGTATGGTTTGGGATTTCCCATCTTCCTCTGTCTGTGGCTCTGCAGATGCACTCACTGCTTTTTCCTAAGGTTGATTTTTTACCCATTCAAAGAGGAGATTGACTTGGCCTTTGAATTTTCATTATCTGCATTTCTGAAAATGCCATCATTTTCAGAACACAATCTTATTAACTCCTCCTGAAGTCTTTAATTCCCCTCATGGCCATAGGGACTTACAGTCAGGAAAATCAGGCCAGAAGCTAAAAGACCAACTCCAACAAGGCTGTTCAAAAGGAACTAGTGGCCATAGCTCCCTGAACCACAAAGATGGCGGCCAAGACTCTAGCAATAGGCAAGACTATGTGGCTATTGATCTTTCTGGCAATTGTTCTCTGTGGTTCTGAAATAACTGAAGACATCAGAGTTGGAAGGATTCTGGTGAACACCAGGCCTACTTCTTTAAGATATGTGCATCCTGGGAACAGGGTGGGGGCACCTGCTCAGGGTACTCATCCAGTCACAGGTACTGCTGAGCAGGAAGGAGGGCTGACAGGTACCAGCAGAGCCACAGGGCCATGTTGTTTCACACATAGGAGCACTTCAGGGGATGCTCTGCTGCCCCTTCAAAATAAGGTAAGGATCTCTACTTCCAGACCAGCTCCCTTCGCAGGAGGAGCTGTCTTTAGAGGGAAATTGCTTTTCCAAACTGTTTGTGTGTCTGGGATTTGTAAAATTTGCAAAACACTTCTATGTGATTGTGTTTCTTGGCCAAGCAATGAAAGGCAGTTTCCAATAAACTGTGAGGCCCCTAAGACCTTCTCTTAGGACACAGTAGGGGACACAGTAGGGATATTAATGTTGAAGGCACCTGGCAGCCAAAAAAGATGCTGCTGCCAAGTCAGCTTGGTGCCCAGGCACCTGGTGTCCAGGGGATAATCTGAATTCTTAGATTTAAGTTGTTCTTTCTAACTCAGCTTCCATCTTCTTTTTCACAAAAAAGTCAGCTAAGGTTAAAAGAAAACACTGCAGTTTGTTTAAAAGCAAAACACATATACACATCTATTTGGAAAAAAAAAGACAACATTAGTTCTGGAAAAAAAGTATCAAGTAAATAGACTCATGAAGAAAAGATTATAACAGAAAAGAAATAAAGTCCAAAGGTAAGTTAACTCCTGGTCAATATGTGTTTAAAACTAGCTCCTGATCTAATCTGTCATGAAATGATTATTTTATCTAACACCTTTTCCTCCCTTGTGTATCATTTTTATGATATAACTCAACAACAAGCGGTCTTTATTCCATTTGAAACTCTAGGTAAAGATGGCCTTGTGGCTCTCTAAAAGAAGCCCTAAACTGTGAGAACAGATTAAAGACAGGCTGGGCACCTTCCTCATTAAATTATCACCAACACATGCCTCGGAGGAAGGTGCTCTTTATCTACATATCTGAATGTGTCTTATCACTCCAATAGATTAGGTTTGCCATGTCCTGGAAATGGGAAGAGATGCATTGATCTGCTGATGTGTCTTAATCCTAAAATCTCTAAAGACTGGACACACAGAGGCAGTGATGCCTGATGGCACAGAATGGCTGGCTTCCTCTCTGGAGGGTAATAATAACTGGAATGGCATTCCAGTCTCTATGCCTGGTGGTCCACCGGCTACTGGCTCTCTGACAATGTCTTGCTTTTGGAGTTTTCTGATGCTGAATTTGCCGAATTGCTAATACCAGGCTGCTGAGCCAAGAATTAATTTAAGTACAAGTTTCTTTCCAACATAGAAGCATCAGAGGGCACTGTCTCAAGTTAGAAAACTGATGAATAAAAATTAAACCCTCTTACTTTGTTAGCATGACTGCTTCCTGCCACAACAAAACCTCAAGTTCCTCCTCTTTGCTAGACCCTCAACTTGGCATCCTATCATCCCCCTGGCTTGATTTCTCCTCAGCAATAGAATAGAGCTGAGCAACTTTGTATAGTTAAGTCCATACAAGAAAGAAATTTTCTCTACCAGTTCTAAATAAGAGCTTCAGGCTAGCTCCAGCACTCCCAAACTGGAAACCATCATGCCTGCAGATGAACTGGAGGCCTATCCTAGCTTTAGCCTCTTGGATCCACACAGGCCCTCTTCCTAGGAAGGCCTCTGCTTTAGAGGGACCAGTACTGACCCCGGAGGGAGCCCCACCCACCTCTCCTCTCTCAGAGGCTTACAGTGTTCCGGAAGGAGTGGCTGCGGATGGGGTCCTCAGCTGCAAGAGCAGCGCTGCTCAGCATGATGAAGACGAGGATGAGGTTGGTGAAGATGTGGTGGTTGATGAGCTTGTGACAGCCCACGCGGATCCTGTGGGGGAAAGCCACTGCATGGACACGGGCCCACATGAGAGTCGGGGTCTTTAAAGTATGGGGCCTCTGAAGTGAGAGATTGGGAAGAGGATGGCTGTCTGCTAGACCACCCATGCCCCCTTTCTGGACAGATCAGAGTGACCTGGTCACCAGCCACAGGCCCTGGGACACATGGGGCAACCAACTTTGTGCTTGGAGTTTCAGAGAGACCATTTCACTGAATCCTTAGAAGCAGAGACTACTATCCTTCAAAAGATAGGGAAACTGAGGCTCATGGATGTGAGAGAACTTTAAGGTAACACAGCTAAATAAGGACCAGGAGCAGATATCCAACCCAGATCTGCCCAATTGTGAAGTTTTTCCACTATGACATGAAGCCTGATGGCTTAGCATCCCTGCCTTGGAAAGAATACTATGTCAAATTAAGCTAAATTTGGCCCAATGATGCTCCATACCTTGAGTCCCTACGTAAACTATAATCTAACTTAATATGCGAACTAATAGAAGGCCTATTTTAGGAGTATACTCTGTAACTAAGAGCCGAGTCTCGGCCAATCACAGCATTGAGCCTCAGCCAACCCAGGCTTCCAACTGATCAGACCATGTTAAAATAAAGCACAGGCCACATTGTCACCAGTCAAGATGTCTCTGTCCCTCACTTCCATTTTCTGTCTATAAATGCTGCTGCCCACATTGCAATGTCTAGCTCTCTGAACTTCTCTGGTTCTCAGGGCTGCTTGATTTGTGAATCATTCTTTGCTCAATTAAACTCTGTCAAATTCAATTTGTCCAAAGTTTTAATTTTAATGCAAAGAGTGAGACAAATTCCTTTCTTGTACTGCTGTTCTAAAATGTGACCTGCAGTGAGGACTGACGAAATCTCCTGTTGCCTAGAGATTTAGTCATAAATGTTAAATTTTAGAGTTGACCCACAACAAGCCCTCCTCAGGAAGCGAGAGAGACATCTGATAATGTTACTTGCCAACACGTAAGGATCTTTCTGCCTTGTGTGATGGGGTTCCTACTGAGTCCTGCAGCCCCATGAAGCAAGAGACAGCAGTACTCTGGACTCCAGGTTGTAACACTGGTTTTCTGGGTCACCAGAACCTCTCCTGCTACCCTTGAGGTAGTAGTATCCTTACCTTCAATATTTGACTTCAGAATTTAAAGGGTTTTGTTGTTCTGTTTCACTTTTCCCTATATATATATATATATATATAGGTTTTCATTTGAAATCATTTTCAAAACTGGAGTCAACTTTATATGAAGGTGACCCCTCACTTCGAGACCTCTCTTTTGGGGTTTCTCAAAGCTGCATGTATCCCCTGGAGAGCTTGCAAGTTGTTAGCACCTAGATTGGGCAAGACTCTGCAAGGCAGGGAGGGCAGAAGTGTTCACGACATTTGGGAGAAAATTAGCCCATTCCTTTGACATGTGTATACACAGTGAGCTGTAGGTGTCAGTAACATTAGTACAATGATCCCCCATCACCACTGACCACCCCTATGGGCATCCAAACAGTGATGAGCTATAAAACAATCGTCAAAACTTTGGGTCCTAAGGACTCCTTGCTTCCCACCTGTATCTCCCTAGGGCCTCCGAATTATATAGCATTCCTCTCTGACAGTCAAGAACTACTGTAGTTCTAGAAGCCTTTCCAGGAGTCACCTATCCTCCCAGCAGTTCACTTAATCTACGATGAATAAAACCTAGAAACCAGCTAGGAAATAAACTTCTTCCTCTTACAGTACATGAGTCATTACCATGTTCCTGGTAAGCACCTTATCATCTTAACATGAGAAGTGCTATTTTAAGCAGAGTATCACAGTGTTGAATCAAAGACTTATAATCTATAAAATACTGTTGTGCAACCATTACTTGGCATAAAGCTCAATAGGAAAAAAGATCACCTAAACAGGATCTGAGGATAAAAATGCTATTCGGAACTTGATCACAAAACTCTCATCCTACAAAGCATCTTAAGGCAAAACCCACTAGTTAAGAAGGGGTCCTAGGAATGAGCAATGGGGGAACACCAGAGTAGTGGGCTTCAGTTGGGGTATCTTGGTGAGCACGTATTCACCTACTGCTGTTTTCATGCCCCGATTATGATGGAGGAAAACCGTGAACACACTCCTCCCAGGTCCCCATAGGAACAAGGAGGCTAGGAAGACATGAACTGACAGGAAAGCAAGAATAGAGCAGGAGAGTAGCTGGACAAAACTTGGGGAAATTATGGGACATTCAGGTTCAGAACAGGGCTATAAACCACTTTCCCTCACCAACCATTCCTGCGCCCTCCACCCCACCCCACCCCCCAGCCATCCTCAAACTAGGGTCACTGCAGAAAGGTGGCAGTGATGGGACTAGGAAGCAGGTATTTACGGGTTGGTCTTGCTAAGAATGAAGAAAGCGCTCCCTTCAGGGATGGGGGCAATTTTCTCCTTCATGTTCAACTCCGAGATTCTGCGAGGACGGGGACCAGCGGGAACCTCAGGTTCATCTTCCTCCTCCTCTTCTTCCTCTTCACCTACTTTAAATGAAACACTTTTTATAGGCATGAAATAAAGACAGCATTTGGGTTTGAATTATCATCCTTGATTTCATATTAAAATATGGCTTAAAATTAATAATAAATTAAAAATTAATTTTAATGGCTTAAAATTAATAAAATCAAGACTTTCCTGCTTCTCCAAAGAACATGGACTGAATAAGTGTGGGGGCTGGATGTGCCCCTGTCTGGTGAGGGTGTGCAGCTGTAGAAATGAGGTTCCCTGACCACCAATAAAGGTGGCTGCCCTCTCAGCACTGGCTGCTTCCCTAGAAACCTCCTTGCATGGCTTCAGTCTGAAAAACCACCATGAGAGACTTTAAGTCACAAACAAGTAGCCCCTGGGCCTACCAATTCCACAGCCCCACCATTATCAGCTGATAAGGCATCCATCAAACGCAAATGTTACTAACAACCGGTCTCCTGTAGAGTTTTCCTGGAAAAATTTGGGCCTAACCTGATTCACCCACACCTCCCCTTCCCACCACCTGGAATTTGAGTTGTGACCATTGTAAGATGTGGAACTAACTGCCCCGTGGGGGGCAAGTGGTTCCATGGGCTTGGGGGCCTCAGCAGCATAGTGTGACTCTGACTGGGACCACCCCAGTCACAGACTCGGCAGCAAGTCACAGGGTGGTAGCAAAGCCACACCATTTACAAGCTGAGAGCCCATCTCTGGCCTTCATCATACCTGGCACATCGCACGGTGGGTAAGGGTCCTTGTCTTCATCCTCCTCTCGATAGTCATCAATTGTAACCTAGGATGACAGAGACAACTTGGGAGGAAGAGAGACTGGTTTAAATGCACTTCAGAGTGCCCAAGTGAAGGGCCAACCCTGCCATTCAGCACAGGGAGGGGAGCTTCTCTCCCAAGTGTACATCTGTGAGTGAGTGAGTGTGAAGGGACAGGCAGATGGGCGATTCTGTTTCAGACAGAAGGCCTGAAGGGAGATGGAAATAGAATGCCAACCCAGTCATGGTCAGCAGGGTCCATCCTTCTGCTGTCCCAGTGTAGTCACACACACCACAAGATAACCACATTGAAATTCCCGTCTCTCCACTGTACGGCAGGCTCCATGGAGGCAGGGACTCTACAGTCTTCTTCTTTCTTAAATCCCCAGGGTCTGACACGTAGTCACCACTCTAAGTGTTTCTCAACTCAGTGAGCAAACAAATAAATGAATGAAACCTCCAGAGCTGTCATAAGTGGGATGAAGTTTGACAGCAGAGACCTGAGGCCTCCCAGACCACTTGATCCTGGGATTGCTGCTGGGAACAGACATCTACTAAAAATCCCTGACTATCATAACCACCCAGAAGACACTACTGTGATCTCAACCACGTGATTTCAACAAAGAAAAAATAAGTGGACATACTAGTAAAACATTTATCATTGGGTTCTCTGGTGAAATGTGGCTTGACAGCCAGCTCACCCCTCTGGTAAACCAGCCATCTGTACAGCACGCTCTTCTTTTCATACCCGAACATTATACACAAGATACTTTCACAGCATATGTCATACATTTATGGAGATACCAGAAGAATCACTTTGAGGCAAATCAGAAGAAGTTATTTAAAAATCAATACCTTGTTTTCACTGTTGGCTATCTGGTTGACTTCTGGTTTGTTGTTCTTTTTATTTTCTAGGCTCTCTTTTCTACAGTGAAAACAAACACAAGAAACCAAATAACTATATTACTATGTATAAAAATGCTAATCAGGAGTCTGAATCAACAGTGCCCCCAGTGAGGAACAGAATTTAATTGGGAACAACACTAACAGCAAGAGCACAGTATAATCTAAACTCAGACCTTCCTGTTCATCTAATGCAATGGATTCATCACACAGATCATCTTATTAAAATTCTCATCCAAGAGCTAATCAGCATTGAATGCATCATTTATTTTATGATGCCAAAATTAACTGCAGTGATTCTTTAAGCACGGGGATGCATGACTCCCATTTTCAGCTCCAAGGGTAAGAGCCAAGGGCTTGGCTTCTGCCCAATATTCCCTCCTCTTTGATCTGTACCACATGGTTACCCACAATCACCAAAAATCAGCAACATGAGGCTACAGCTGCTCTGAAACACATCTGAGTCCACCAGGCCTCCCAGGCAGCTGGGCTCCCCAAGTACCACTGAGCAAATATTTCAGGTGAAAATGGGATTTACCTGGCAATCTTTTTCCTTTCCTTTTCTTCAGCTTCCTCTTTCTGAGCAGTATTCAAACTTTCCGCATCAGCCAAATTGTCAACAGCGATGGCCAAGAAGACATTCAGTAGAATATCTAATTTGAAATTTTTAAGGGTACAACACATTTCTAAATGCAACCCCTTATGGAAATGTGTTCTAGGAGGTGAGTAGCAGGCAACTAAACCTCATGCTATACTCACTTGGTAAAACCAGAGATCTAGGACCCCGCTTTAACACACACACACACACACACACACACACACACACACACACGAAACCTCAGGAGATAGTCTGAAAAAAAAAGATCAAGGTTTACTGAAACTCATGAAAACCTACAAATTTCAACATTTCCTTGCATGTGTATATTTTCTTATATATAAATGTATCTATAGCTGATACATATGGTATAAAGCAATCTGTAACACACATGGTATCATTAAAAAGTACCTTGTGTTTTATTTCACTTCTTTGAAAACTTGCACCATAACATACATACTCAGGGGAGTACTTTTCAAACTGGACTCCTTCAAAGGCTACATGTTATTCCTTCTGCACAGGACAGTGTGAGACCTCCTCTGAAATGGCCTTCAGAGTCTGCAGACATCTCATTCTTTCCTTCACTCCACAAACACCATTTGATGGCAACATGTTGGACCTTCCCCCTGACGCTGCAGGGCTATCTTCTGAATAGCCCCACTGTGGCTAGATATTTAATTATTATGGCTGAGCCCAAGTTTTGCAAATAGTAAAGAGTTAGATGAACAAGTTGTCAGGGGTTATTATCATTTTCTGGCTTTTACTATAAAATTGTGCATGTGATTTCCTTGAAAAACATTTCAAAGGCTTTCAAATCAGAAGATACCTGTTTCTTACTTATAGCAGTTAAGAACATTTTATAAAAGCACAGCGATCAGACAGCAATAAACGGGAAGGCCTTGGGCTATAATAAATGCTTCTGTCTGCCTGACATTCAGTCACCTGTAGGCAAAACTGTAGGAGCCCAGGGTCCCCGAGAGAGCAGCAGCACACCACTGCCCCATGTGCCTGTGCAATCTGAAATCTCATCTGGGTTGCTGAACACATAAACCAATATAACCTAACAAGGGACTGATGACAAGATCTCTGTGAGGGGATATCATGCTTGACTAATTCTATTCAAGGCTTTAAAGAGGATAGAAACGTGAGTGAATTATATTAAGACTTTGAAAATGCCTTTGAAATGTTAGTCTATTTTTTTAACTGGCACTACAATGAGCCTGAGGAAGCAATTTGTCCTGGGTTGGAGGCATCTCGGAAACATGTGCTTGGAAACTCCTCTGATGGGCATGGATCAAGGCTGGTTTGGAAGGAGTTAGTGCTGGGAATAGTTATATTGGGGATTTCTCTCAATGACCCCAATGAAGAAAGAATCACCTCTCTAGCCTTACAACACTAAGCTCTTCTGGGGAGCAGAAAGCAAATCTTGACTAATAAACCACATCAAGGTCTTACAAGCTAGTAACAGATGGTTTCCAGGAGTAAGAACCCATCATCTGCATTTAAAGACATTACCCAGATCCTCCTAAAGAGTGGTGTGCTCTGAAATTCATTCAAAAAGACCTACCAAGCACCTGAAATTCCAAGCCATGCTATGGATACCCAGAACATGGGCAGAAATATGACAAAATGGAGCATCTATTCTAGTTGGGGACAGAAAACATGAATATTTTTTTTTCCTTGAGTACTAGCAATTGAACCCAGGGTCTTTTACGTGATAGGGCAAGTATTACCACAGAGCAATATCCCCAACCCTTTATTTTATTTTGAGACAGGTTCTAAGTTGCTGAGGCTGGCTGCAAATTTATGATTCTTGCCTCTGCCTCCTGAGTAGCTGAGATTATAAGCATCCATCCAGCTGTTCATGTGCCCAGTTTATGAACAACTCTTAAAGCATCAACATAGAATCAGAGAGAAGTAGAGCCAGGGAATACTTCTCTTTAGGCTCAAATCTGGTATTCTGCTGTGACCTTAAGAGCAAATTATGAGGGGAGCAGACAAATAAAATATTGACCATTCGTGTAACAAACATTTAACAAAGGCCAACTAAGCACAAGGTCCTGTCTGATAGTGAGAAATGCAAATACAGAAAAGATGATTCCTGACTCAAGGAGCTGTCATCCAGTTAGGAAGATGGAGGAGTGCCCACCCCAATTTCAGTAGCGGCAGACCCTGCACACAGGGAGAAACAAACACAATCTGATGGGAGTTTTAGAGGTGGATGAGCTCATCTCTGGGCAGGAGACAAGGCAGAGGTGGTTCCCTGGAGGAGGGATGTTAGGATTGAGTCAGGGACTAGCAGAATGTATATATGCTGAAATGAGATTTTTAAAAATAGAACCCTCATAGTATAAAACATTGTCCCTGAGGAATACAGGAAAAGTTTGCACTAGGGTTTCAACACTGAAGAAAATTCATCAGTGAGCCAAAGAAGATTAAAGGGGAAACAGCTAACAGGATCAGGATCTCCTTAGGAGAAGAATCCAGGTTAGGATTCTTAAATTGGAAGGGTGAAGGTTCAAGAGATGATATTCTTATGTTGTACAATTGCTCAGTTCTCACAACATATTTCTGAGGGCTTCTGTGTGCCAAGTTTTGTGCTAGGACCTAGAGATAAAATAGACACAGCCCAAGATTAGAGGGTCTGCATAAATAACCTGAGGGCCAATTTCAGAAGTCTTAAGAGATTGCCTTTTGGCAGGGAAGAGGAGTGAAATGAGTCAAAAAAAAAAAAAAGTTACATGGGGTGGGGGTGCTGGGGTTGTGGTTCAGTGGTAGAGCGCTCGCCTAGCATGTGCGAGGAGCTGGGTTTGATTCTCAGCACCACATAAAAATAAAACAAAGGTATTGTGTCCAATTACAACTAAAAAAATACTTATATGTATATGCATGCGAGAGAAGTCAGCCAATGAACACATGAGACCCAAAGATGCATAGGTCAGCAAAATAAGATTAGGTTTAGGGCAGCACAGGTCAAGCCATGAAAGATGCCCCCACTCCTGGTCATGAAGGTCTTAAGATCTTGAGAGAGATACAGCACTAACCTCCCAAGGATAACAGCACAGGGAACCACCTGGCTTGCCCTAGGCCACCCCCTGAGACTTGTATGGGAAACATGCCTCCCAGCCGGATGGCCTGCCACCAGCACATGTGCCCTCTCTCCCTAGAAAGGCTTGGCTCAGCCAGCTGCATTCCTCACAGCCTCTCTGGAACTCTGCTTGCACTGTGTCATCCCCCAGGGACACAGAGGACCACAGAGAGCCAACAAGGTGAAGACACATACCTCCCCACCACAGATGTCGCCACCACAAGTGCCACAGGAAATTCAGGGAGGAAAAAAAACAAAAAAACAAGCCAATGACAACAACAACACAGCCCTGGGGGGCCTGAAGGATACAGTTACCACAGATGAAGAGGATGATGAAATAGATACAGACGATCATTCCTGAGGATGACGGGCCTCCGTAAGCCATGATGCCGTCGTACATCACAGCATTCCAGTCCTCGCCTGTCAGAATCTAGGAAGCCAGAAGCAGAGTGAGAGAGCAGGAGATGCAAGACCCATCTTGCTCCCCCAGAGCTCCTTGGAGGCTGCTTAAATCTGGGGTAAGCCGTCTTCCACAGTCCAGGTTGCATGGGATAAATTCATCTGTTATCCCATAGAATTTTCCAAACATTATTTTTAATGACACAAATACATGAGTCAATACTTCAAATGAAAAAAATCTTTACATACAGGATATATAGACTTTTTTAAAATTATACCTCAGACCAGTTTTTCATCCTCTCCCCAGAGAGTATGATGTTGGTGTTGTCTCTCCAGGAACGTTGTCTATGAATTTAAATACACATACTCACACCCAGAAAAAGGAGCCAATTGGTGTCTTTTCTGACTTTTTTTTTTTAATAGACATAAAGGGTACTATGTTATATGAATTTTTCTGAAACTGGCCTTTTCTTTTTTTAAACCATTCAACATTATTTCCTGAAGACTCTCTATATTAATAAATTAACGTCATTCTTTGTAACCTCTGCATAGCATTCCACAGTTAATCAAATATGGAAATGAAAAAAAATCAAATCTATGAGTTTTTATAAGTGGGGATTTCTAAATGTCTCCTATAAGTCTACTAATGATCTCAAGGGAAAATACAATCAACCACCTGAAATTTAAAATTTATCTTCGCTTCTAATGATACTTCATAATACAGTCCCTTCCAAAATTGAATGATGGATGAATATGGACAGATGAATATGGACAGTGATTTTTTTAAATGCAATCTTCCAGTGAGAGAGAACTTCTATATTTTCTATTTGAACTAGATATTGTAAAAATTCAAACTGCTGCAGATCAAAATCAAACCACAAAAGTGGCAAATGATAAGATAAATTCACAGAAAAAGAACTATAAATGGTTCCTATGAAAATATGGTCAACTTAACGCCTGATAAAATTACAATGAGATACCATTTTCATCTGTTAGGTGACAATAAAAGCATGAATACCAACTCTGGTGAAAAGGAGCAGGCAATGGGTAGTCTCCACATTGCTCTCTTTACAATTATAATGAGAGCACTTTGTCAAAGGTATCAAAGTTTAAAATAGTCACACCCTTTAAACTAGCAATCCCACTTTTGGGAATCTATCCTACACATCTATTCTCACATGTGCCCCTTGTGTCCTCGTTGATCAAGGCCAACCCACTAGAGCCCTGTTTATATGAGCCAAGACTGAACACACTAAATATTCATCTGCAAGTGACTGTCTTCATAATGTATGGCAATCCACACCACAGAATTATGCTGAATTTAAAAAGAGGAGGTGACCTTTTATACACCAAGCAGGAAGGCTCTTGAGGACACTGTAAGTGATTTTAAAAATGCCAAACAGTCTGTAGAGTGGGTGATCATCTGTGTAGATTCACTCCTAGGTAGGCAGGTAGTTTGATTTGTGTCTTTGAGCAAATACATGTCTAAGAATTACAAGAAGCTATTTAATGGTAGTTGCCTCCTAGAATAAGAAACTAGTGACCAGTGGGAGAACTGTCATGCTATTTTGGTTTATAACACTTGAATTTTATGCCATATGCATGCTTTAAAAAAAGGGGGGCAGGGGAAGACACAGGTTCCTCTGAAAGAAATTAGAGAAAAGAATAATTGACCAGTAGTTATTCTGACCAGCAAAATTTAAGAATAATTTTTTTAAAAAAACAGGGTCCATATGATAATTCCATACATTTTTTGTCTTTTTAAAAAAATTTTTTTTAATTTGTTTTAGGCACAAGAAGTAAAATCAAGAATAAATTGGATGGATTCAAATTAAAAACCATTTTCGCAGCAAAGGAAATAATAAAGTGAGGAGACAGCTTATAGATTGGTAGAAAATCTTTAGCACATGCACCTCCAATAAATAACCCAATCAATAAGTGGGCCAAGGAAACTGAATAGGCACTTCACAGAAGAAATACAATTGATCAACAAATATATGAAAAAGTGTTCAACATCTTTAGCAATTAGAGAAATGCAAATCAAAACTACTCTAAGATTTCATCTCACTCGTATCAGAATGGCAATCATCAAGAATACAGGCAACAATAAATGTTGGTGAGGATGTGGGGAAAAGGTACACCCATACTTTGCTGGTTGGACTTCAAATTGATGCAACCCCTATGGAAAGCAGTATGGAGATTCCTCAGAAAACTGGGAATGAAACCATCATTTGACCCAGCTATCCCACTCCTTGGTTTATACCCAAAGGACTTAAAATCGGCATGCTACAGTGATGCAGCCACATCAGTGTTTACAGAAGCTCAATTCACAAGAACTAGAATACGAAACCAACCCAGATGTCCCTCAATAGATGAATGTATAAAGAAAATGTGGTGTATATACTCAATGGAATATTACTCAACTTTAAAGAAGAATGAAATTATGGCATTTGCCAGTAAGTGGTTGGAGCTGGAGAATATCATGCTAAGTGAAATAAGCCAATCCCACAAAAACCAAAGGGCAAATGATTTCTCTGATATGCAGATGCTAATTCACAATAAGGCGGGGAGCACTAGGAAAGAATAGCATTACCTTAGATTATGTAGAGGAATGTGTTGAGAGGGAAGAGGAGGGGATGTGTGGTAGGAAAGATAGTAGAATGAAACAGACATTATTACTGTATGTGTATATGTGACTACATGACCAATATGATTCTGCAACATGTACGTTCAGAAAAGTGAGTAATTATATCCCATCTATGGGTGATATATCAAAGTGCATACATCTTAAATAACTGTGTGAGAAAGAATCTTACAGATCATTCCCTCTAGTCTCTGTGTTTCTTCAGAAAAGATTAAGTGACTCATCCAAGGTCATCAAGCTAGGCACAGAAAGAGCCACCCTGGGACCTATCTGTTACGTGCCCTTCCCCCAAACACCCGTGTATCTAGCAGGGCTTGGATGAAAAGCAACGAGGGTGCATGGGAGTTCTAAACACATCTGTAAGGCTCTGTCCAAGGAAGGGGTTCAGCTCTGGGCACGTAGAGAGGGCTCAGACCCCACAGCTTGCAGTCAAGAAGGGGGAGGGCATGCTGCTCCTTAAGAGGCAGAGCTATCTGTGCCCCTCTGAGATGATCACTGCCATCCAGCCCAGTGCCCATAGAAGCCCTGACAGGACAGCCATCCTCAGAGCCTGTGTCCTCACATCACAGTGGCAGGACAGAAGAGGGCAGAAGGCCACCACTACTCAACTCTACACCAAAATATCCAGGCTTCCAAATTTATTTCTTCACATCAATCTATTATAACTAGAGTTTTAAACTTGGAAGTGATCAAAATCAGCACAAGAGGATTTGGGGTTTATTGTTTTGAAACATAGCTAGAGGTCTTAAAAAACAAGATTCGATAAGTCCCCTCAATCAACATCTGGAGGATGATGCAAACAAACAACTCGTAGGGCATAAAATTTACCAGGTATCATGAGGTCCAAGATTACTAATAAAAAATGGAATATTTTTATCTTCCTGAGCTGTAAGCCAACAAGAAGGCTGGGGTTTAGCTGTTGCTTACAGTGTGTTTTACTGGGACAGGAGGAGGGCAAAAGGAAGGACTCACCTGAAATACTGTCAGAAGGGCTTGGGGAAAGTTGTCGAAGGTGCTTCGCTTGGTTTGTGTTTCATCGAAATTAAACTTGCCTCCAAACAGCTGCATCCCAAGCAAGGAAAAGATGATAATGAAGAGAAAGAGCAGAAGCAACAATGAAGCAATTGACTTCATGGAGTTTAACAAGGACGCCACCAAGTTGCTCAGAGATGTCCAATGCCTACAAATCAAGATGAGGGTGTGAGCCCAGAGCTCTGTAGGACAGAGCAGAACATCCTCTGACCAGAGACTGGACTGATGGCCACCTCTTACTGAGAAAACACCTGTGGCAAGACACACACACTTCCTTACCTGGTCACTTTGAAGATTCTCAAGAGGCGCACACACCGGAACACAGAGATCCCCAGAGGGGACATGATTTCCAGTTCCACTAAGATGGTCTCAGTAATTCCGCCACACACCACAAAGCAATCAAACCGGTTGAAGAGAGAGACAAAATATGCCTGGAGACCCAAGCTGTACATTTTTACCAACATCTCACAAGTGAACAGAGCCAGGAGGACTTTGTTAGCGATATCTGGAAAGACAGAAGGCACGCATCCTCAAGACCTCATGTGAGAGAGGCTCCATCCAGCTCCTCTTCTCCTGGTACCTTCTTCCCATCAGTCCCCATGGGAAACACACCAACGCTTTCTCTTTTATTATACACGACAAAAATATGGCATTAATGATAGTCTGTTCTCTACTGAGTTCTGGTAGTGGTACTGCTACTAACTAGATGTGCAAATATGGAATGGTTATTTGATTCTCTGGGCCTCAGTTTCACCAATTATAAAATGGGTAGAGGCAGCTTATCACACAATCTCTAGAGCTCTCTTGCACTAAAAATTCATGATTCTGCATGTATTTTTAAAATGTAGGTCTCAATAATGGATGTTTTTTCCCTTTCCATGGCACCCAAACATGAAACCTGTCTAGTCTGGTTTATGTCACTGATATCAGAAGTGGTCGCCTACCAATGTCATTTTTAACAGCAGGAAATACTGCTAAACAGGCTTAAGAGGTAGAGGAAACAGATGTAAGGGAGGATTTCTTAAGATCTCAAAACTGTCAAGCTCAGACTGGGCTGGCTTTGGGGATGACTTTCAACTCCCCAACCCCCATTTCTGGACGTTTGAAGGAAGAAAACCAAAAGCATCTGCCAAAAATAAAGCTTCCGATAGTTAAAATTAAGCTTTCAATAAAATAAATAAAATTAAATTAAAATAAAGCTTCCAAAAGGGGCAGGGAGAAGGTCCTTCCAACTCCAAGATTCCTGGATCCTAGGTTGTCTCAGTGCTAGGACAAGGAGATGCTCAGCATGAATCAGCTCCAAGGTACTATGGGATTGCCTGCGTTTGGACTGTTTTCCCAAAATAGCCCTCAGTAGATACAATACTTCATTACTAATACTAAACTGTTCAGTATTGTTATTAATCAGATAATACTAATAGCCGTTAGCCACAAGAATCTCTAACTTGGAACAAAAAGAGCACAGCTTCTACTCATACCTTGAATCTGCGTCAACCAGTCTGGCTGATTGTAGTGCTCAGAGGAAATGGTTAATGTGTTGAGAAACACCAGGACAATAACCAGCCAATAAAACGTGACAGACTTCACGGCAGCTCTACATCTTCTGCGACTGAATCGGTTCCAGCGACGCCAGCGTCGGCTGAAAGATAAGTAAACATTACTCCCGAGATGACAGATATGGCATCTGCAAGTCCAATAAACCTCGTGGAGAAAGAATCTGGCTTTCGCTCTAGAGGCTCAGATTGGGTTGGGGGTTCAGGAAGGAAAAAAAAAAGTGAAAAAATAGCATAAAAATGAGCAGACCTCATAATATAAATATTGGTCTTAACATACAACTTTTAAAAGTATAATCTTGACTTGATTATGCTTGGTTTCCCTTTTGTGGTTATAAATAACTTCAAGATCTGTCATATGTAGTCATCAAATGAGTAAAAAAAATCTATATTCATAGATCCACATGTAGACGCATCACCGCACCTGAACACATATGCAGTTCATAAACCCAGATGGTGTGTGGATCTATTGGTATGGGTGCAGACAGCCACTTACTACATAACACTGCTCACAGCCTCTCCATCATCATACAGAATTTATCAAGCAACCAAGTTCTCCAAAATCATAGTTTTCTTTTTAGGGAAGCTTAAAATTCTTTCATAAATCTTTGGGGTTCCTCTGGAACCTGGTGGTTGTCAAAGCCAAGGAGGACATGAGTCTTAATACTGAGTCATCAGGTGCCCTTTCTAACTAGTGATGCTCAAAATAAACCTTTAGAAGAAGAGCCAATATTGAGTTGTGTTTTCATAAAAATAAAATGAGCTGAGCCAAACAGACAAAGTAGCATGCCCTCCACCCACCTTCAGTTCCCTGTTTGTAATTAGGGAAAATATTCTCTCCCTTAACCTGTCTCTTTCCAGAAAATATTATCTGCCACAAGGGGGTAGTTGGTGAAGTGTACCATGGACTACTGCTCAGTGACCTGGATTCTAGAGAAGAATCAGCTCAGTGACAAAGTCCCTGCTCTGTGGGCCAAGTTGCCTCCCTGACAGGGATGGGGACACTTCCTCTAGGGTCCTGACTAAAGAGGAATATTCACCTTCAAGAGGCAGCGCTGGCTGACTCAGCTGGATTACGACATTTAAAAAACGTGACCCAGGAAGTGAGCAAAGGAGGAATTGTGCTACCTCCTTACCAAGACCTGGGCCAAGCAAGGTGTTTTTGTTATTGCTCTCGATGTGCAGTTTCTAGTTAAAGAAACACAACAGCCCTCACAGAAAAAGTTCCAAGGACACGACTCTACCCACGCACAGCTGGGTTCTCCTGAGATATGTAATTCAGCACATGTAAGCAAGGTAGCCTGAAAAGACTCAGCCTTGATGGGTCCATCCTGTGCTAGGGTGACAGGGCACAAGGATGTCCCACATCTAGGAGACCTGGAAACCTGTAACATCTACATCTTGCCCTTCACTGGGCTCTGAACACCTTGGTGGCCTTGTATGTCCTCTCAGACCAGAGTTCCTGAGCACTATGTGCCTGGTGCTGGGCAGATGAAAATGAAGAAGGCATTGTCCCTGGAAAGCACTCAGGGTTGAAGTAAATGACAATTACAAATCCATGCCAAGTGCTAGTCTCAGGCAGAATACTGGTCAGGAGAAGGGAGATACAATTGTCTGTTGGAGAAGTCAGGAAAGAATCTTCTGAAGAGCAGAGATTTGGGCTGGATCTTTGGATGAATAAGAATAATGCCGAAAGCAGGTAGAAGGGCAATTCACCCAGAGAAGACTGCATTTAAGGGGTAGAAACAGTGGCACCTTTAAAAACTGAGAACAGGGGCTGGGGTTGTGTGAGGCTCATACGTGTGAGGCACTGGGTTCGATCCTTAGCACCACATAAAAATAAATAAACAAAATAAAGGTATTGTGTCCACTACAACTAAAAAAATATGTATATTAAAAAAAATAAAAAACCCTGAGAACATTCCAGCGTTCTACAAATGGGGAATATGGGAGGTTTGTCACAAATTGAGGCAGAAGGTAAGCCAGGAGCCAAATGATGAAGGCCTTTCCATGCCCTGTAATAACAGAGAACCATGAAAGAGCTTTTTCTTTTTTTCCCTTAAAGTCAGGTTTGAGATGTAATCTCCATATAGTAAGGCTTACTCTTTTTAGGTACACAGAGTAAAGAAGTGACAATCTCCATCCCCCAAAAAGTTCCTTCACAGCTGTGAGCAATCAATTCCACCAACCTTACTCCTTGCCTGATGACTATGCTCTGGTTTCTGTCACCAGAATTTTGTTTCATCCATAATGTCATATAAAGAGTCAGCCTTTGTGTAGCCTTTTGAGACCAGTTTCTCTCACACAGGGAAAGAAAAATTCTTTAGAGATTCATCCATGTTGTTACGTGTATCATTTTTTTTCTTCTTGTTGCTAAGCAGTATTACACCATATGGACACACCTCCATTTGTCTACCCACTCACCATTTGATGGACATTTGGGTTACTTCCAGTTTAGAGTAATTATGAATAAAGCGGCTATACATATTTATGTAAACTCTTTTGAGTAGGCATATATCATCATTTCTCTTATATAAATACCTTATAAGTAGAATTGTTAGGTCAGCAAAAAGAGAAACTACTAAATTACTAAATTTGGGGGGTGGGGTGGGCATACTGGTAATTGAAACCAGGGCTTTGTACATGTTAGACAGCATTCTACCACTGAACTGCAACCCTAGGCTGTCATTAAAGAGAGAGAGAAAGAGCTGTCATTCAACATGACCACCAATATTATACAGAAATACCCATTAATCAGCATCCTTGTCAGAATGTGGTATTGTCAGACATTTAAATCTGATCCACTCTTACATACATGTAGTGGTCTCTAATTGTGATTTTAATATTCCTTTTTTCCAATGATTGATGGACATTTCATCCGGATCTCTTTTTGGTGACACGCCTATAAAACTTTCTGCCGTTTTTTATTGAGTTGTTTTCTTATTATGGACACTATTGCTTATTATCTTTACATTAATCATTTATGTACAGATTTATCATATATGATTTGCATATGATTTGCAAACATTTTTATCCAAGTTTTCAGTTTGTCTTTATTTATTAAGAAAACAATAAAGGTAGAAGTTTTGGGCCAGGCACAGTGGCATATGCCCGTAATCCAGCAACTCAGGAAGATCACAAGTTTGGGCCAGCCTCAGTAACTTAGCTACACCTTGTCTCAAAAATGTTTTTAAAAGGCCTTGGAATGTACCTCAGTGGAAGAGTGCCTCTAAGTTCAATCCCCAGCTCCACATACACGCTCAGAGAAGCAGAAATTTTAATATTTATGAGGACCAATTTATCAAATTTTCCTGTTATAGATCCTACATTATTACATCTTAAGAAATCTTTGCCTAACCCAAAGTCATAAAGAATTTTCTTCTGCTTTCTTCTAGAATTTTTATAGTTTCAGGTTTATATCTAGTTCTATGTATACTGCACACAGCAAAAAGATGTTTTTAATTGAAAAATAACACTTATATGAAAAAGTACACAAATATCAGGCATATAAATCAATGATCACTATCAACTGAACACGTATCCTGCATCCAGATCAAGAAACTGAACATCACTAGTATCTTACAAGACTTCTTGAATGCTCTTCTGTGGAAAGCTTTTGTGTATTGGGCGGGGGGGTCTAGTTGAAAAGTAACAAGAAACATCTCTTAGAGACATGACTGAAGTATTGATTGGGAGGCAAAAATCTGTCCATTATTGTGCCCCATTGGTTTGTAGCAGTTGTTCTTGCTAAACCGCTCCCCAAGACAGGTCTGTGATGTGTAATGGACTGACTGAAATTCAGTATCAATGTCAACACCCATGGAGTAAAATTCAAGTGTAGAGCAATTCCACGTAAAAGTCAGAATTTAAAACATAATAGTATAACATCAAAACCAATGCACAGGCCAATGGGGGGGGGAGGAAGCAGAATGAAGATACTGACCTGAGTTTGGATTTTGAGATGGCTTGGCTGAAAGAAAAGACAAAGGTGTTAAGATTCCCACTTGAAAGACGTGAACACATGCTCCCTTATTGCTTCAGCAGTGATATGGTAAAAAGCCATGCATGTAAGCCTGGATTTAGCACCCCCGGTAGCCACAGCAGGTCAGCTGGGTTAAGAGTAGAGCAGAAATTGAGGTGCTACCAGTGCCAGGCAGGCAGGTTGAGCACCCTCAAAGACCTCAGGCAAGAGAAGACTCTTAGCTGAATTCCCTGAGAAGACATGGCAACAGGCATTGACTCCAGGTGTCCTTCTCTTGCCACTCCAAGCTGAGGCTAGCAAGGCCTCTAAGGCCTGTAGCCCAGCCTCTCATCTCAACAACAGAATTCGTGGGAAAAGGAGCAACAGACAAGGGGTCGTAGCTCTGTTATTCACAACTGGGTGAACACCAGAGCAGCATGCCTTTTTGAGCCTCACTGTTCTCTTCTGTAAAATGGGAGAAGAAACAAACCCATTCCCTGCCTACTTTACAATGTCATAGGGAGGGCAGAGCAGAACAGAGGCCAAAAAAAAAAAAAATCACTTCATGAACCGTTGCATACACTGCCATAACATCATTTTCATGAAACTCTTCCAAGAACAAGACTAAGTTCTCTTATAGACAAGACCTAAAGGACACTAACAGGAAGCAAACAAGACAAAACAGCACAGGATTCCCCAAAGCAGGTAGTTCTTGGCCCATTCCACAATGCCAGACCCCCCCTTCCCACTGCTGCAGCCCAAATCATCTAGAAGGAAGCCAGTGGGTGTTATGGGATGGCTTCCTCCATGGTTAGGAGAAGGTGGTGCAGGCTTCTCAAAACAGGTGCCACCAGCAGAGGAGAGCAGGGTTTCCTCATCTGGTCACTAGGCATGAGGTTGGGAAGGCCCCATGCATGAAGAAAAATTTTTAAAAGGTGGCACTTTCTAGTCAGCAACTGCCATTCAAGCTCTTCCTCCAAAGCACAGATGCCAAACCCAATGGGAAGGAGAATTCAGCCTTTACCCCCACCGCCGGCACCCAGAGGGCCCCGTCTTGGCCGTGCCTCTTCTTTTCCACCAGCACCTAATGAACACAGCAGGTGGCCGGGTTAACTGGCACAGTCCCCAGCTCCACCTCAGCAGGAACTGCTTCTTACTTAGGAAGAGGACTGTGGACTGCTGGGCACCCCACGGGACCTGGCACAAGAGGAAGGGCGCTGAGGGGCCAGAGGGAGCCCACCGCCCTCCTGTACCTAAGGCCACATCCCTGGGACTCCACTGCAATCTGGGGTGCTCCTCAACATTAGCTTCTTTAAGATCCATGAGGGCTAGGAGGGAGAGCAGCCTCCACACTCACCAGAGACTTCCACAGCAGCCCTGGGTCTCGCCTTCGCCACTTACGTTCTCAGTGTTCACGGATTCGGTCTCACTGGTGGGCATGCTGGCTGTGGGGAGAAGAGGAGGCTTAGATAGTGCACTGAGGGTGCTGTGCTGCAGGGAGCAGGCCAAAGGCAAACCCTCAGGAACTGGAGAGGAGAGCAAGAAGGGCCCTTATAGGCTTGGCCAGCAAAGGCAGTGCTGAAGGCTGGTCCACTGCACAGAGCCTGTGCTTTCAAGAGTCTAAGAGGTCACTCTGTCAACCCACAGTCTTGCCAAGAAAGGAAACAGAGGCCAAAATGAGTTCTTTCCAGGCTGGGAGGGGCCTGACACCAGCTTACTCTCCTGATCCCCAGATCACATTGCAAAGCCATCCCGACATCTCGGTTATTGATACATCTCTCCTGGCCCAACAGGAGTACCATAGAACATTTGTGATTAAACTTAATACTTCATAAATAAATTATTCTCAACATGCTGAAGGCGAAGAGCTATTAAGGATGGAAAAGGCGTGAAGAAACCACACACAAAATCTTCTTTAAAAGTTGAGAGTTCAGCCGGGTGCAATGGTGCATGCCTGTAATTTCATCTACTCGGGAGGCTGAGGCAAGTTCAACCTGGGCAACTTAAGAAGAGTCTATCTCAAATGACAAAGGGCTGGGGGTGTAGCTCGGTAGTAAAGCATAGCAGTGTTCAACAGCAAATATTAAAAAAAAAAAAAAGAGCTCTACTTCTTAATTGATCTGCTATCGAAGTTCTGTTAAATTTGTGAAGTCAGTATGCAGAAGGTTCTCTCCAAATAAGTTGGCACTAGAATACCAAGGAGAACCTGGAGCTAGATGAAGGGGAAGGAGAGGTGTTTTGCCAAACAGTGAGCAGAGCAGACTTTGATTTCAGTGTCACTGAGGTCTCTAAGCCCCACAAGCCTATCTTTTCCTTGGCAGGCTTCTAAAAAGTGGCAGAAATGTGGAAATGCACCCATTATTGTCTGGAGGTTCAGGGATTCCCCTCCACACCTCAGCCACCAGCTGGCACATGGGCATCTTTTCTCATCCACTTGATTCAGCTCTACAGACATCACAAGCACATGCTGGAGCCAAGGCAGTAAAGGAAGTGTGGGGACACAGAGAACTATACCCAGCTGGAGGAGAGGTAGGGAGGGGCAGCCTCCCAACAGATTTCCATTAACTGTGAAAAGAGCTCCCTCGGGGGTCTCCACAACAAGTTCTGGAGTAAAGAATGACTAATATATGAAAGGAATTGCCAAAGATCAAAACATAGGAGAATTTCCCAAACACGTGTACTTTTTTTTCCCTTATTGCGGGTTTTTGCTTTGAGTTGCCGGTTTTTTTTTTGTAGTTATTTTTAGTTATACATGACAGTAGAATGTATTGTGACATGTTATACATACATGGAGTATAATTTCCCATTCTTGTGGTTGTACATGGTGTGGAGTTACACTGGTCGTGTATTCATTTATAAACATAGGAAAGCTATGTCCTATTTATTCTACTATTTTTCCTATTCCCATTACCCTCCATTCCCTTTTGTCTAATACAGTGATTCCTCTCTCTCACAACATTCTGCCATTATGAGTTAGCATCCACATAGTACAGAGAATATATGGCCTTCAGTTTTTTGGAATTGACTTATTTCACTAAGCATGATAGTCTCCAATTACATCCATTTACTGGCAAATGCCATAATTTCATTATTCTTTATGGCTGAGTAACATTCCATTGTGTATAAATACCACATTTTCTTTATCCATTCATCTGTTGAAGAGCACCTAGGTCGATTCCATAGCTTGACTGTTGTGGATTGAGCTGCTGTAAACATTGATGTGGCCCCTAAAATCCTTAAAAGGATTTTAAGTCCTTTGAGAGGATGCTGAGGAGTAGGATAACTGGGTCAAATGGTGATTCTATTCTAAGTTTTCTGAGGTATCTCCTTAGAAAACTGTTTTTTTTTCTAAGTGTGGTTGCACCAATTTGCAGTCCTGCCAGCAATGCATGAGTGTACTCTTTCTCCCACATCCTTACCAATAGAAAAATCAGAGATAGTAGGAACATACCTCAACATTGTAAAATCTATCTATGCTAAACCCACAGACAACATCATTCTAAATGGAGAAAAATTGAAAGCATTCCCTCAAAAAACTGGAACTAGACAGGGATGCCCTCTTTCACCACTTCTTTCCAACCTAGTTCTTGAAACTCTAGCCAGAGCAATTAGACAGAAGAAAGAAATTAAATGGATATAAACAGGAAAAGTTTTTTTTTTTTAATAGACCTTACAATGTCAATAGGAAAGCCTTCCTCCTTTGGGCAGGTGACTTAATAAGGATGCCTAAAACTTCATCCGCAAAAACTGGGAGTGAGGGGAAGAAACAGGGTCAACTACTCTGCCCACGAGGCTGCATAGTGCCGACTTGGTTCTGGCAAGAAATGTTAAAAAGTGAAGTACAAGGATGAAGTGGGATCTGATTCAAAGACCCAGAGGTCTGAGCAGCAGTCTTCTGAGGGTCCCAAAGGTGATCCCTGGTCTCTTTCCTTTTGTGAGCACCCAAGATACTGAACTTGCCTCTGTGGAAACCTTAATGGCCCTGTCCAGGCACTTTTAGGCACAAGATTCAGAAGCGAAAGCCAAATGAACAGAATTATAGACTCGTATTATATTGCTGGTACTCTCCTTCCTTAAGTTGAAAGAAACTAACTACAAACCTTTGATTCACTCTTTCACTACTCCATGGGGAGGAGGAGGAAAAAAAAAAAAGAAACAGGAGAAAATCGAAGAATCTCACCATCCAATCATAGAAAACTCTTCAACAAAACTTCATTACTACAAACACCACACACACAGCTCCCAGACTTCCCTCCCCAGGACTGTTTCATGCTCTGACTTCTACAGAGGATCAGAGGACTGTAAAGTACGTGAAGCTGGCTGGCAGTTGTCCTTTTCTCTGACAATGTTGCTCCCTCTCTGAAGAAAATCCCAGCAGGATACCCTTTTCATATCCAACCAGGAGTCAGCTCTTTGTGAAAAGTGGTTATTTCAATGACTAAGGGGACCCGGAGGTTGAGGGCAGCACAATACACTGGCAGGGAATGACAGGCTCTGGGTCTGCCTGCCTCCCTGGTGGCATCCTGCCTCTCTTCAGGCTTCAGTTTTCAGGCTTTCAGTCTATCAAGTATGATGCTATCTCCATACTCTTAAGGATTATTTCCATCTCTGTTCGGTATCTCCTGGTTCTGATATCAATCACACTGGAACATGATCGTTATTTCCCAGAGGGTAAATATCTAAGCAGACTAAATCCTCGGGCGTTTTTCACCCTCTGGGGCTGTGGCTCACATTGATATGGCCATCATCATTGTGTTTGATCCCTAAGCTTCATTTTTCAAATGATCTAATTGAAACAGATAAATTTTTTACCGCCTTTGGGACGCGGGATGGAGGTTCATTTTGCATTCTGGCTGTATGCCAATTACTAGCCTATGAAATTTTCTATCTGGTCTCCAGACTGAGTGAAGAGAATAAGTAACCCCTGACTCCCCAAACACAACACAGTGAGGCTGTGAGTTGTCCAGGCTGCACTCAGGGTGAGGAGAGTCCTCCCACTCTCCAAGTAGATTCTGTCCTCGGGTAGAGAGAGAAAGGGGCCTGACAGCAGGTGCACATATTGGCCATATCTAAGTTTAACCCCACGTTTGTGGCTTGATTTCTGAGCCTCCATTTCCTCATTTATAAATGAGAGAGCACCTATCTCATGGACTGTAGGCATAACTGAATGGGGGGAGGCATGAAGAGAACCAGGTCCCCAGCTCTGAGTAATCACAAGTGTTCACTCAGATGATCATCTCAGAAAAGCTCTCCTGGAGCTCCCTGCAAGCAAAGTGACCACTCTGATCACAGCCATCACTGCACAGAAGCATCTAATACAAACATTTTTCCATCTGAATCAGCTTTGGCCACCATTCTTGGTTTACATATTTTGTCTTAAAATGAGTCATTGTCTAACTCAGCCTGTTGTAGGAACAGCAACTTCTCCTGTTATAATTATTTCACACCTACAGAGCCAGGGGCATGTAATAAATAAATCTATTCCAGAATGTTGTTGTCAGAGTTAGAGGAGGAATGGAAGGGGAATGAGGAGCCCATGGGTAGTGCTACCTCATTTGGTTCTGGAACCAGAGCTTTGATCTGGTGCCTCAATTTGGACAGAGGAACCAAGCTTGGACTGGGGCCCTGGCAGTCTTATGATTGGCTCCAGCCTCTGGATTCCTAACACAGGACAGACAGGGAAGTTCCATTTGTGAAGTATTGAATAAATCAGGCCCAGTGGTAAACCAAAGACCTTGTTTGTACATTAAAACATTTTACCCTTCACTTGTACTGGGCATTTGTTTTTTAACATTAATAAACTAACATGAGTTTTGTTTCATTTCACCCCAACAGGATTTCATTTGCATATTTAAAAGTAGGGAGGAAAGAACCACAGACTGTTCATGCTGCAAGGGGCTTCTGAGAGCACAGGAGATGAACTCTGTGGTTTCACAGACTACCGAATTGACCAAATTGCCTCAGGACACATAGCTAGCTTAGTTCTGAGAGAGACTTCCTGATTTCTATCCAAGAGAACATCTCAGAGACTAGGGACAGTACAAATAGCAAGCTATACTGGTGATTATTAGGAGTTTATGCAAATCAAAACATAGAATTATAAAAATACATATAAATAAACCCACAGGCAAATTCCTGAAACAGTTGTACTAGTTGCAAAAGCATTATGACTGTCCCATGGAGATGATTATTATGCCCTCTCCAGCAGAGATTCTGTGTTAATTTCTGGTGAGTGGCTAGGCCTCATTAGGGTATAGAAAGCCCCTCTCCTATTCCCAGTCACCAATAAGGGTCAGGCTCTCCAAGAGAAGTACACCATACGAGTTGGGGGGAAGCTGCAAGTCCTCCAGGGAACTTGAGAGCAGTGTTGGGGAAGTTTCTTTCTTTCTATAAACTAAAAAACTCTTTTCAGTGACTCTGGGTGAACCAAGAATTAGGACAAGCCTGACATCTGTAATGGGGTGCTGGCTTGCACTGCTATTTGCTTGCTGAAAGTCTGGGGAAGACTGTGCTCTGTAATCTGTTCTAAGCCTTGGGATCCTGGACAGAGTTTCGGAGTACACCCTGAGGCTTAGAGTGTGGGCATACTGAGGAGGATCCTAGGGGCTGCTGTGGGTGAGGAGCTGGTGCCAGACAGCAGCCAGCACATCCTGGACTGTAGGCATGTTCTCAAGGTCTATGTGGCATGAGCTTCTATGATGCTGGCTACTGAGGTCAAAGACTCTAGAAGAGATATCAAGAAAGCTTGGAGTGTGTTGTCAGGTGACAGAGGGAAAGTGCCTTTTCACCTATGCTTAGTTACCTATCTGAGAATGAGCTGCAAGACAATATCAGCTCTAAGATCTGTCTACCTCTGTAGTTCCCTGGAGTGTGTTAGAGAAAAGGACTTGCAGCTTCCCCCCACTCTTATAGCCCTAGTGTACTTCTCTTGGAGGGTCTGACCCTTGCTGGTGACTGGGAATAGGAGGGGGGCTTGAGGAGGTCTTTCTATACCCTAATGAGGCCTAATCACTCACCAGAAATTAACACAGAATCTCTGCTATAAAATTACTTGAAAGCAGAAGTACCCATGAGTTGTCTGGTGTTGCTACCAGCAACTGGGGGTTTCTCTTGTCTTCCCTCAGCTCTGCAAAACAACAAGGCACAAAGAGACAAGAAGTACTGTGAAGCCACTGCCCACTACCCTCAGGAGGGGAGCAGGAGTCCTGCAACCTGCCCAGGAAAACCGGACTCCAAGTCCCCTCCAGCCAAATGCCCCAGGGAATGGAGCACAGCACAGAAAGGAGCAGCTCCCAGAGGACTCCGCCCTGCCCATGAGGCCCTGGCAGCCCAGTGGGAAGGCTTGTCACATGACAAACTGAGCCCAGGGCTTCCTAGCCTCCTTTTGGAACCTTCCACAGCAGAAGCCTCAGTCACCATGTCCTCAGCTTCTGAGCCCCACTCATCTGTTCTAACCCCCCAAGACAGGCTGTCTTGCATACTAAGGGATTTCTTTTAGCATTTCCTCCTAAAGCCTAACTTTCCCTTTAGAGAAAGGGTGAGGCTGGATAACTGAGTGGTGGCAAGTTTGGGTTGTCTTCTCAGGAGGCAGAATTTGAGGCCAAGATCTTACGTTTCATCTTATTTTCATGACAAGCATGAATGGTACCATAATGTAACATGCCTGACAAACCCCACAGGACTCAGATATCCCCTGAGGGCATTTTCAGAGGCACACACAGCTGACATAGAGTAACAGACTCTCATTGCTAAAAGGCAGTCAGACTCTTGGAGAAAGTGGGTCAAGGCCAGACCAAGGTTTCCATGTCTAAATCAAGAATTGTATCTAGACAAAAACTCTTTTTGCATGACAGTGACCAGGGCAGCACAACAGCCATTTGAGGGTCCCTGCTCCACTGTTACCAGCAGGATCAGGGTCCAATCAGTAGAAGTCTGTCCCCACCCAAAATACAATTAGTTTCCTGAAAATATTAGTCTGCTTCCTCTCCCTGAAGATCTCAGGAAACTAATAGAGATGCTACTAATTTAAGCCTTCCCTCGGGAGGGTGAGCCCAAGGACTGGTCTCTTCTCTTCTGGGAACAGGAACCACTCATCTCATTTTTTTGGTAACCAACCCAGGGCTATATTCTAAGTTAGTCTTAGACATTTTCCTTAAGTCCAAGACAGTATCTTCTGCTTAGTTAAAGCCAATCTTCCTTACAGAGCCCCTCAGGAACTACAGCAAGCCTGCCTCCTGTACAGATGCCCCATGAAAACACTACAGCAGAGATAGCCAGTCCCATGGCCACCCTTAACTCACTGTTCTGTCCCAATTGAAGTTGTTCTCCCCCTCCCCCTCCTCCTCCTCCTCCTCCTCCTCCTCCGGCCAAAATGCCTTGAATGCCTTCTGACAATTCCTTCATCCCCTTCCTCTTTCAGGCCTTCTGAAGAGACTAGGACACTAACATAGCCCTTATGACACAATCCATGGGTTATTCCAGTCCACTTCCCTTAATCTCTGAGCTCAGCAGTTTCACAGGTGGCAGAGACTAATACACACACACACACATACAAACAAACACACACATACACACACAAAAAAACACCAGTGTAACGTGTCCTTCTGTTTCCCAAGCAGCTGGCTTTGTGCCCCTGCAGTCTGAATCTTCTCAAGCATTCTTCTTTCCAACCAGGGTCCCAGGTGGAAGCACTTGATTGCAATTGCCAGTTGCCCAGGTAAAGCTTTGCACTGCTGTCCAACCATAGTGGTGACCTGGGCAGAGCAGGGCAGGGGGCCAGCTGCTGGCATAAATGCCTGCATAGTGATGGTCCTGACTGTTCAGCCCAGGGTTTCTGATGAGGGGTATGGTCAACATTGTTTTAGGACATTGCCTGAAATGTAGTTGTTCTGCACACAAACCTATCCTCACTTGCAAAGGCAAGTACCCAAAAATCTTTGCATCTATTTTTAACTTCACTCTTGAAGCTGCCACCACTATTTTAGCATGGTCCTGGGTAAAACAGTCAGAGATTAGAAGACCAAGAAGCCACTTGAAATATGCAGCCTGGAAAAACAAAATCAATCAAATAATATTATTGGAATTTCTAAACAGTTTAAACTTTAAGACATTATTTGTGGAAAAGTGTTTGAAAAACCTGTCTTCCAGTCTAAGAATATTCATGAGAAATCAAATTTTCTTAGTTTATTCAGCTGCTTCTTTATAAGATATAGTTCAAATAGAAAGAAAACTTCAATGCCATCTTGGTCAGGACACACATTTTAAGGATAGACAAGAAGAAAATGAAATGACCAAGTTTCAAAGAAATCAAGCAATTACAATATAGGCATCTGCCAAACACACCGCAAGGCACATGCAGTTCACACAATGCCTATGTGCAGGGAAAAGGTACCAGAGATGTTGGACAGCTCAATCTCAGTAATTTACCGTGATCTTTAGCCCTGCGTTGGCGAAAGCAGCAAAACTTCCTTTTCTTCTTATCCTCTTTTAGCAACTCGGCCACTGTGACCCCTTCAGGTTGAACACAGGCAATTTCATTACTATACAGCAGAGGGCAGCAAGAGCAATGCAAACAAGGGGGCATGCAGCCAGTCCCACGCCAGCCCAGGGGCGGCCTCACAAGAGACACTGGCCTCTGATGCGCACCTGACACCTCCCTTCTCCTACACAGAAATCTATAGTTCAGGACCTGAAGGGACAGGGGCAATGTACCTGCTATAGTTACTATACAAACACTTGTCTTTAAGAACCTATTCTAAATACACACACACAAAAAACCCCACTTTAGACAAAGGCTTCTCATGTTTGGCCTCCTATCTAAGAAGACCATTAGGGAAGGGGCACTTCAAAGGAAGGTCGGTAATCTGAGTACTGGGCAGCAGTAGAATTCCAACTAAGCCTTGCTATGGGGAATGGGACAGATGGAAATGAAAAAGGTGGGTGCTAGATTCTGACAGCCTAGGTCTAATCCCAGACCTCCCACTTACTGCCTGCTAATTTTGCTAATCCTTAGTTTCCTCACCTGTAAAATATTAATAGCAGTTTGACATCTTATACTTCATGAGGTTGTTTTAAAAAGCAAATGGTAGATAAAGTAACATGAGCAAAATGTTTGACTTTCGTAAGCTGTGGCCAACTGTAATTATTACTCCTACAACTCTCCTGTGGCCACTAGATCCCAAGAAAAAATGATTCTGAGATCTCTAAACTCTTCCAATTGTTTCTTCCATGAGCACACCAAATTGTCCAATCTTTAAAGTAGAGGCCATGTGCTCCAGGGAGGGAAACTATAGAGATAATTCTGGATACCAGGAGCCAGTAAGGGTGAAGGGAGACAGGCATACACTATTGGTAGGCAGAGCACACTTCTAAAATGGGCATCCTCACTTAAAAAAAACCCTTTCTCCTAAACCACATCCTACAAGAACATAGGTATGAGTGTATATGCACAGGAGCATTCACACATGGGAGTTAACAGTAATTAGTATGTAGACTGTGCCTGAATTTGGGTTCAAACCCCAGCTCAGCCACTTGACAGCCATGTGTCCTTATAGAGCTACTTAACTTCTTGGTGCTTTAGTCTCCTCATCTGTAAAGTTCCTATCTCAGAGTTGGGTGAGAAATAAGAATCCTGAGCCTGTGACCCTTCAAACAGTATCTGACACATAGGAAGCACCTGGTAAATGATAGTTATTATTCCATGCCCTTTCCTGCAACAAATAACAGTGCTCATATGTGTGACAAATGTTATGCTTGATGCCAGCCACACAACGGAGAGCTGAGACACACCTTACACCTGCCCCCATGGAGTCCAGGGTCTTGTGACTGAGAGACATTAATCAGACCATCACACAAATAAACTCCAAATGGAAGCTCTGATCACTGCAAAAAGTAGAAGTCACATGCTGTTGAATACATAGTCCTTATAATGCTCAATTCTTATAATGGCAATTAATTGGAAATTAGCCAAAATCTTGCTTTAAAAAACATGGAAAGATGTCTATGGAACACAATCCAGGGAAAAAGACCTGTGCTTGGCATCTTGTGTCCCAAACTGTCAGCATAGAGTCTATACCAATTCCTACCTTCTTATGTGCAGAAAGCCATGTGTGAAAGAAGAGGCCCCCGACTGTTAAGCCTGGCTCCCTCCAAGGAGAAGGAAGAAAGAATTTTATTACTTAATATGCATTGCTATTATATGAGTTCTTTTCAGGGGGAAAAATATTACTTTAGTAATTAAAACATAAAAAATAAACAAAAGCAACCTTGACTCCACGGGGACTCCATACACCTGGCTGGAGAGCAGCTCCTCCACCTCTCCAGGTGGGACCATGAGCCCTAAGCTCACTTCCCACCAGCTCCCACAGGCTTCAGGCAATGGAAGAAGAGGAGGTGTCTTTATAAATCATTACTACTCTATACCACCTCAGTGGAGATGGTGTGCCAGGGCAGAAGGCCATGCCCAACACCAGCTAGTGGAAACAGTGTCCGGCTGCCGGGTCCTCCTCGGTCAGCCTTCCCAATCCTACTGTTGGCTGCCTCACCAGTGAGGGCAGGTGACCAACTTGGATATATGTTTATCACGTGTCTCTCTGCCACTGTTTTCGTTCAGTATTTTCAATTCTGGACTTGAGTCCTTAGATCGTTTGTGACAAAAGCAGTTTTATGAATCAAAAATTTTAAACACAATCTTTTAAAAAAGGACTAGGAAACTGCTATTCCTTGCACTTGCAAAGAGCTTGCCATCCTTAGGTCTCATACCCACAAATGAAGAACACACTGTAGGAAAAGGTATCTGGGTACCAACAGGCAAAAGGCAGGCAATTAGGGCCACTTTGTGTACCAAGTCCTGGGACTGGCAGATGCCAGTGGGCGGCAGCAGGGGACACACTCAGAGCCTCTAGGACCATAGAGAAAGCAGCAGATGAACAGGCACGCCTTGTGGGCAGTGAGAGCTTTAGGTATCCCATCCTTTCTTTGGACATCAAGTATTGTTAATGTTCTTACAATATGTTGTTGGGGGAGGTGTTGTGGGGGGTGTCAGAATTTTAGAATGAGCTCTTTAAAATGATTTCATTATTTTAATGCTATTTTTTAAAGACTAATCACTGACAATGAGAAGAGTTTAAAATAGAATTTGAGGCTTCCAGATTTTAATGGCCCTAGAAAAACTCCATTGTTAACTCAGAAGCAGCTGCGTACATCTAAAAAATCACTGTGCGATTTGGCAGAGTTTCTTAAGAAACTTGAAGCTCAGCAAAAAGTTAAATAAATTATCCTTGAAAATTCCCCAAATACTCAGGAACCAATTTCCAAGGGAATTTTTGTCCACTCAATTAATTGTGTAGCACTAGCTCTCTTAATAGCAAATTTACAGAATTGGCATTTTTAATAGTCCAAGAATGCATAAAATAGAGCTCCTTGTCACTAGAGTCATCAGAAAGCTCAGTTAAGGACCTAATTGCCTCTCTTTTCCTCTCAAGTAAGTCCTTGGGTCTGTGGGATAGTCAGTCACTGATACATTCATGACAGAGGAGTTCCCAGTCTAAGCTACACATGCAACCCGCCAGGGAGCTTAAAATACAAGAGCCACCCCTGACTCCTGTCCCAGAATGAAGCAGAGGCCTAGGGTGAAATGTGGCACCAGGAAGGCTCCAGCTCCCCCCAGGTGATCGTAATATACGGCCAGAGATGGACACCACAGATGCAGCAAGTGACACTGAGCAGAACAGGGAGGAGATAATGCAAGCACGTCTCTGAGTACTCAATTTGACTATCTGTTCCCTGATACAAAGCACTGAAAAACTGGGAATGGATTTCAAGAGCCAGAAAGCTGTGCTACCATATCTCAGAAGTGACCAAGTCAGTAGGTTTGTGTTCTCTCAATACTTCAGAACCATATAGCTTCTGAAGAAAAGTTTGGAGCAGCAGGTCCTTAAAAGGGTCCTCACCCTGAGGTTGCTTGGAGGTCTAGTAGAATCTTCAAGAATATTCAGCTAGGCCAAACTTTCCTCAAGTCTGATGACAAGAGCAGCAGCAAGTTCGGCCACAGTTATTTCAACACCTGCTTGTTACTGAACATCTAATTCTCTTAATGGTGCCTTGGGTAGATATCTTTAGCTCCTTGCAACCAAGAAAATGGCACTCCAAGATGTTGGGTAATTTTCCTATCACTGAAGTCCAAATCCCATGTCATAAAACTCAGCCAGTTCCAGAGAAAGGGCCTTAAAATGCCTTGCAGCCCAAGTCTTTGCCTCTTATAAGTGCACAGTTATCTGTTGTGAGTGACTCCTTTGCTCAGCTAGGCTGAGGCTCAGCTACCAGGAAGGCTTCTTCTCACACTGTCACAGAATCCTCAAAATATCTGGGAGGAAACTGCCCAACTCATATCTAAGACCCAGCTGAAAAAGACTGTCAGCCAAAGCAACATCTTAAACCAGCAGGGAGTCAGGAAGCCCAGGCAGTGTACTGTCCCTCTTCCCAGAGATAACACAGGAGCAAGACTGGGGAACATGGCACATGAGGGTGGATCTCACACACCTAAGGAGGGTGCTGACACCAAAACACCCTTGTTTCTATTGCCTGATAGCCAGGGACCAGGTATACGCAAGGGTTAGGGCCAAAACTAACCCTTGCCCCCTGTGTTTTTCTGGCTGTGATAGAAAGAAAGGAGCTGGCAAGCCTGGGAGGCCCCAGGGAAACCCCACCAGCACTGACTTCCTCAGAAATCCTGAGGTAATGAGTTCTGTAATCAGGGAGGCTCCCCTTCTTCCTCATCAGGAGACGTGGTGCCCTCAAGTCAGTTAGATCTCAACACGCTTCCCTCAGCCTAGGATTTGTGCATTTCAAACCCCGATCACTGAGGCTCTGGCAAACTGACAACTCTGAAAGCATCACACTCCATGAGCCTCACTCTACAGGAAATCCCAGCACCTGGGAAAGAGAGCTCACCAAAGAACAAGGGTGCACCAAAGAAATATTTGCAATTCTAGATCAAACATTAAGCTAATTGTTTTGAGTCACACGTCACTGTGCATAGCAGAAACCATAGTTCTGATGTTCTGCAGACACACTGCAGCTTCATGGGCTTGTAAGACCCAGTTCTGGTTAATTCTGAAGATCTGCAACTTTCCAAGGACTTAGTAATACTCTCAGTGAAAGAAACAAAGTAATGCACTGAAGGGCTTTGAATATTTGTTATTTTCCATGCCTTCTTTGTCTCATTTCCTTAGCTTGCCCCACCCCACTCCACCTTACCTTCTACAGCTAAAGGATGCATATCCCTCAGGGCTCAGTGAGGATGCTACCTCTTCCCTGCATTTCCACCCACCCTCCCACTCATGCCAGCCAGCATCACTGAGCCTTCTGGATTGGTATTGCAGACTGCTGCTGCTCCTTGATTATGGTGACAACGTCTACCGTTAGTACTGTAATAAGTCACTGCCTTCTCTATCTTCCCTCCAATGGTAACTTCCATGAAAGGCAAAGGCATTGGTTTGGTCATCCCATAGGTAGGTTCTTTACAGACAGTGGAAGGAACTACTTGGCTCAGATAAAATTGTGAACCCTCAGGACTACCAGAAGACAAGACCTCAGAAAACAGATCAAGACACTGACCATGAAAATGACTCCACCACAACTGACATTAACTGCACTAAAATCTAGATCGCTAGTTCTAGTGGAGCAATAAAGAGATGACAGGCATCAGCACCTGGGATGGCCTCACTTGGCTCCCCATGGGATATACCTAAACTAGCAAAGAAAGGTGCTCTTCAGAGAAGAGGGACAGCACTTTCTCTGGAGTGGGTGAAGCAGGTGGCTGGTGGGCCTCCCCATGTTAGGATCCAAGCCACAGTCTATAAATGAAGAGAAGGCCGAGTAGGCATCCCCAGGCTTCACCTGGACAGCTTGTTGCCAGCAATACTGCAAGTACAGAAGCACTGCAAGGGCCACAGGGTTCAATTTGGCTTAGTCACTCACAGAGAAATGTGCTGAAGATATACACTCTTCTGTATCTAATCACCTAGTAGACACATCACTGAATTTGGAACTCAAATGTTCATTTATCCACTCTAATCTGGTATTCAACAAACACAATCAGCTCTATAAATCCTCCTAGTCTCCTGGAAGCCATTTCCTACTCCTCAAGGACTGAAGCCCTGGCTTCTTCCTGCATCTGAGTAGATGCAGAGAGGTGAGCAGAGGAGGTGACCTGTACTCTACTAACCCCCCAGTCAGTACATAGGTTTTAGTCAGTAGTAGGAACCCAGGATAATACCAAACCCTCTCCGATAGCATAGACTCACAGAGTCCCAGACTAGAAGAAGCATAAAGGCTATCAGGAGTCCTTTCAGCCAGCGTATCCACGTGCTGCTACCTACAGAAGAGGCACAAATCTGCCTCTCCTACTCTTCCCACTGGCTCACCCTGACCTTCATACCCTCTGGGCTCTAGCCTAAGAGCCCATCCCACCCTCCCTAAGCCCGGCTGCTGCTCACCTTTTGTTGTTCCCTTGAGTCAGTACTGAACAGTCATTCCTCAGATCGATCCATCCTTCAAGGCCTGGGTCAAATGTTCCGGCCCTATGTTAGATCCTCCTCCTAGTTCCTGCAGTACATCTGTCTCCTTGAGTGCCCTGGGGCTCTGGCTCCTTCCACTGCATTTATTTGTAAGCATGCCTTCCTTTTCTAGAAAGGGAACAAACTACAACCCCAAGAGGCTCATCTCGGTAGCATCTTAGTATCTTTTACAAAAGGTAGAACTGAACTCAGTTTCCTATGCCTCTCAATGGACATGTACCTTTGAAATGTGTTTTCAGTCCTTACTTTCAACTACTCTAGATTTGAAACAAATCACAAGCAGTATAGTCAAACCACTGTTGGATTTCAATTTTTACCTTCACCAGAGCACAAATGGAAGAGCAAGAGCATGTCTGTGAGAAAAGTATATAGCAAAGGAGACACTGTGGTTGACAATGGCAATTAATTCCAGTGGTTGACTGGCTATCAGGCCTTGCATCCTATAGAAATCACTTCAGAGCACCTAGTGTCTCAGTGTGGGATTCCAGGCAGGTGGATTGTGAAACAGGCCTTTTAACAACTACCTGGCACAATGAACTGCCCGATGTCAGCATTCAGCTTTGTACAGATAGTACAGGTGGGGAGCCACTCCAGGTAACACAAGAGTCAAGGGGTACCCTGCTCTTCAAATCCTTGTCCAGAGATACTGCTCACTCTCAGGCGAGAAAAGTCATGTTCAGTGCAGACCCTGATCCATGCCCATGCAAAAATGGGCTCACGAAATTTCTGAGGCCCATAGAATAAGTGTTTGACCCTCTTCAACTACAAAGCCACCTTATTAAACACACATCTAAACCCCAAACTCAGGCACAAACCCAGAGCTGACATAAATACATTTCTTCCCTCTATGATTTGTGCAGGCAAAGGGGACAGCACGGCTGGGAGGAGACTATTCTGCGTACAGACAGGTCAGAGGCAGGGAGGGCCTGCTGCGGGTGACTGAAGGGCACATCAGGTTGGTCTGGCCGGGAGCAAGAAAGGCAACACCTACTATTTCGTTTGCCTTCCTCTCCACCCTCCTCTTCATTCTCAGGATCGATGTCTTCTGCCTGGGTGATCCAATCCAAGTAGCCCTTGAGATCCTCCTCCAGTTGCTGTTTCTCCCGGAGTTTCTGGAAATCTCCCCGCGCTTTAGCCTTCTCTCTTTCCTTTGAGAATTCTCTGAGGGAGCCAAAGAGAACAAGCACCCGTCAGGACATCCTTGGGGACCTACGTCATGAGCTGTCTGCCCCACTGCACAATGGCCTTGTGGCAGGACACACAGTGCTGAGCACAGCCACATGAGCACAGCAATGGAGCCACACACGTGTACAGGACAGAAGACAGTGTCTCCTTAAGCAAGACTGTGAGGGTCAGAGTAGCAGAGACCACACCAACACACATGCATTATTTGTTATTCAGGATGACAGTGATCCTAAGGAACCCAGGCCAGAAGCACCATGTGCTGTTATGGCAGACCTCTGACACTCCCCACCAGGGGCCTCACCTCAGAGATGACCTCCTTCCCCATAGCCTCCTGATACCTGGCATTGCACTTCAAAGAGAAGGGACCCCAATAGGCCAAGCTGAGTCCAAAGACAGTACCTGGTTTAGGCTTCTTCAATATTTTTGGACAAAACTTTGCATTTATAATGTGTGCTGACCCTCTATCCCAATCAAGAGCCCTGCCAGGGAAGCAGCCCTTCCCCACAAAACACAGGAGGCTCCCATCCCTACCACCTGCAGCTTCAGGCCAGAACAGTGAACAGGGTCCAGGAAGACCCAACTCGCAGCCTAGTTCTCCATTCCCAGGCAGGAACTCAAGTACTAGTAAAGCACTATTTATTCTTAACCCTCGATTCTCACCATAATCTTTCCCTAAAAGTTTTCCCCATAGGAGTCGAAGAGGTAATACAATTTGTTGCCCATTTATGGGAACACCCGACCTGGAAAGTCTTTGGCAGGTGTGCCAATGTTCCAAGTGTTTGCTGTTTACTCTGCCTTCTGTATCTGAAACCCTGTATCTACATATGTACATAAAACTCCACACTTGCTCAGGCAAGTCAGAGCAAGGTGGACAATTACCAATTTTTTATAAACAAGGAATCATCTGCATTTCCAACCGTGAGTTGTTACAGGCGCCAAAATATGTAAGTTAATGGATTTAATTGTATTTACAGTTAAAAAGCTGCTAGGAGAGCAGGTGAGGTTTCTGCACACAGATCCCAAGATTCTGACACAGTTACTGCCGCCTTCCTACTCACTTGCCTTCCAATTCAAAGTCGGCACGTCTCCCTTTCAGGGACTTGCTAAGTGACAAAAGGGAACGTGACTTGATTTCATTAAGCTAAACCCCTATTCTCTCTCTCTCCATACCCTTGCCTCAAACACTAATTCCTCAAGAGGCTGAACAGACACTTGAACACTCAGTGACACACATACTTCAGATAAGAAACTAGAATCTTTGCCAAGGTGCCACCCTCTCCCCACAATGAGAAAGGATCCCACTCACCCCACCGTTTGGACCTCCGAACCTATCCCTGGCCCTGGTAGGGCTGCTCCATCTCCACTCTACCCTCTGGGCAGTGAGGAAGAAAGAAAAGCTGTGGGCATCCTGCAGTCAGCTTTCAGATGGCTGGCACCAGGCAGGGGCTGAGAAGGTGAGCAGACTGTACTCTGACCTCCCCACCCAAAGGCACTCCATCCCAGAGAGGACATCTTTTCATCTCAAAAAGGAAGATATTTGGAGGGCAATGTCTTGCTGCTCACACAAACTATACACCAGAGAATGGTCTGGGGTTTCTAGACTTCCTGGGCTTCTCAAGATATATGAAATGCATAACTCGGCTCTGGCTGAGCTCACCCAAAGACTCTGAAATTGAAAATGTCATATTCAAGCCAAACTCAAATCCTGAGGCAACAGCAGGAAGACTGGGAATGTCATGTGTCCACAGGACAATTCATTATATAATCTGTTTTAAGAATTTAAGAAATTCATTGTGCAGAGCAGGTATGCCCTCAATTCTGTCATTTATCAAAAAGTATCCCAGCACAAATCTTTTTCATGTTTTGATTCTGGACTTAGTATACTAAATGTAGAGGATTATACATACAAGCAGGGTATTCTTATTTTGGATTCACAGCTGATCTGAATTCTTGGAAAAAATGACAAAGATAGTGGAAGAATTACCCTGTAAAGCTTGAAGACTTTATGAAATGAAATTTTGCTTCGCTGTCATATTTTATGTACTTGTTTATATTAGAACTATAAAAATCCTTCTCTAATAAGCTGCATCACTGTTGCATATTCTAGGCTGTTAAGTGAACATGAGTAAAACCCTACTAGCTACTAAAATTCCTGAGAATAAAAATTGAATAGACGAACTCTAGATAGGCAGATGGGTGGGAGGGGAAGGGAGGGGGCAGGGGTTAGTAATGATGGTGGAATGTGGTAGATATCATTATCCAAAGTGTATGTATGAAGACACAAACTGGTGTGAACATACTTTATATATAACCAGAGATATGAAAACTTGTGCTCTATATGTGTAACAAGAACTATAATGCACTCCACTGTAATTTATTTTAAAAAATCAATAAAAAATAAACACACAAAAAAACTGTTCTAAGTCCTGGTTTATGGCCCATTTATTTAAATGATGGGCACATGCCTATAATTCCAGCAACTTGGGTGACTGAGGCAGGAAGGTTGCAAGTTCAAGGACAGCTTCAGTAACTTAAAGAGGCTCTCAGCAACTTAGATGTCATCTCAAAAAAAAAAATGTATGAGGATGTAGCTTAATGGTAAAGTATCCCTGGGTTCACTTTTAAGTACCAAAAAAATTAAAAAATAAATCAAAACCATATGAAAGTTCATTTAACAAAGCTGTTTATATAGATCCTCTCACCTGATTTCAGACAGTTCTGAATAGCCCAGTACCTAGAAGGTAGGTAACGGGTTACTGATTTAGACAGAACTGAGGTCCATATGGCATCAATCTGTTGCCTACAAGGCAGGGCAGAGAAGTAGGTTTTGTGTGATAAACCTAGGTGACCCTTGGCCATCTTAGACCACTTATGGCTCTGAGTGTGAAGGTCAAGATTCTCTAAGCTTTCATTTTTTGAGCTGAAATAGAGATTCAATAATACCTGTTCTATTGTTCCACCAAGGTTAGGTAAGATCTATTCAGTAAGATGATACTTCAAAATACACAAAGCATGGTAGGTAAAAATGTGAAGTTCAAATGAATAATATTTAGTTGTTAAATCGGGGCCTAAGAGAAATTGAAAAGGTAACTGGGAGACCCTTCTCAAATACCAAAGAGGGAAACTAGGAACAGCTTTGAATGGGTTCTCAGCTACCATGATCCTCCCAGAATTGGGAGAGGCTTAGAAGGATGCATGGGATCCTGGGGCTCACAGTGACTGATGAGCCAGAATACCCATATCAATAATGCACCACTTTCTGTTCTGTTGCAAACAACTCATTTCCACCATAATAAACTTACTGTTCTTGCCTCAAGTCTACTTCATCTTACATCAACCTCAGTGGATGATGAAAAAAAGGTACTCTGTTTTGCATAGAATTTCATCATCTTCTAAAGAAGTTCATGACTAAGAGGTTCAATAACCATCACTACTGCAAACATTCAACAAAAATTAGCAGAAATGATTAGATTTTTGCAAGTGATTCAAAATTCCAAAAACTGTTCATGCTAGGAGCCTACTTATCCTGGATCAGAATGGGTCTGGTTCTGGTGTGTCCAGCTGACAGAAAAATTCACGTCAGTGCTTGGACAAAAATGTGCAAACTGTGTGCTGCCCTTTTGCACATGAAAGAAGGGAAAATAAGAAACACATATTCTGTAGTGTATATCTGACGGATGAAGCAGAAAACAAGAGGCAAGGACCAACAGGGTAGACGAAATAAAGGATGGAGGAATACTCCTAACTGCATCCTTTTCTGTGGTTTTGACTTCTGGAATATGTTAATGTTCTTCAAATTAGTTTCTTATATTTCTCGTCCTTTATCAATAAGGATGAGATGGAGAGAAAATACCCATAAACTGAAAGTGGACTGGAAAAAAAATGAATCTGACAGTATTTCAAATAAATACCATAACTGTCCCAAAGGGAAAAGACAAAACTAATTCTAGTGGCTTACAAACTTTGGCACACGGTCTTGGGCAGGACTGGCGCAAGGAGAAAAACAAATGCTGAGCTCTTTTAAGTTGTTGTTTTGCTTTGTTCTTTGACTTTGGTAGTGATAGGGATGAGACAATCTGAAACTATTTTAGATGTATGACAGGATTTAACAGATGAGTAAACGTGTTAATGTTGCCGAGAACCAGAATTCTCACTGTGGAAAGGAGACAGAGAAACACAGAATGGAGGAAGCCTAGAAATCTGAGGGGTGGACTGGAATGGAACTCAGGGTTTATAAATATTTGTTGTAAGGCCCAATATCTGATTTTTAACAAGACATTGATACATGAGCATATGAATCAATAGGAGTATGTGTACAAGTAAAGAAATTCATATGCCCTAGTTCTGTCTGTTGAAAGGACTTAGAGACAAGGCAACTCCAGCAGATAGGAGCATACTTGGTCTCTCGTGACATTTTTCATTAAAAGGAACCAGGGGTCTTTGGGAAAAAAATGGCTGATTCCAGGACTGGGCCAGGTAGATACTAGATGAAGAATAGCAAGTGCTCAAAAACAAACACATGCTGGATAGAGGCCAAGAGCTCAGGGAGTGACTCTACTGCCAAACCTAAGAAAACTTGAGCACTAAATAACTAAGAATAGCAATGAATTATAAAATATTTCTCAAAAACCTGTCTGTACCCCATATAGATAGTAAATAAAAAAGCAAATGAGATAAAATTATGAATGAAAACATATATGAGATAATAGGTGAATTAGAATAGTAGGTATAAGGATTTTTCTCTACATTATTTTTATTTTTGCGACTTTCCTGTATGTTTAAAATTATTTCCAAAGAGAAAAACATTTATGTTTAGAAAATGTAACTGTACTAATCAACTGCAAATGTATGGTCCTATACATCCATTTGGTCTTATCAGCTAGATTGGAAGCTCCCTGCGGGAATGTACAATGTAGTTCATTTCTTATTGTATTTCTTTCCATGACTCTGTCTTCCCCATGGTAGCCAGTTCAAGC